TTTCCTGTGTCAGTGTTATTAGGCCTGTAGTAATTTCAAAGTCGTACCAAGGTTTGTTGTTTCAAATTGATGGGGTTATCAGTTCCATTAATGTTGCTTGCTTGTGTAAGTATCTGTTGGTTGGGTCTGGAGACGTTCACCTTTGTTTCTTAGGGTCTGTAGGAAATATCTCTTGTGAATTTTGGGGGATTTCTCTTGTTGGGTCTGTAAGAGTTCTCTCGTTTTGATGTGTGAAGCCCATTTCTGGTGTCCCCCGCCGTGATATTGCTGGAATATTGCTAAAAGCGGCATAAAACTAAACTCACTCACTCTCTCGTTTTGTTCGTGTTTGGAAGAATTCTTTCCTGTTGGTCTGGAGACCTCCTCCATTGTTAGGGGTCTGTCGAAATTAAAAGTTGTTGATGATATGGAAGAATGTGTTTAAAACTGTTTAAATGTCCCTGTGCTATTTGTACTGATGCTATTTGGATGATCAGCACGTATCACTGTAGTTCAGATCCTGTTGTCAGACGTACTTACAGATCAGTCATTTGACTGTAGTCTATGATACTTATCTCGTATTCTGTTCAGCCGCTAGTTGCCACTGTGTATTGAGATGGAGGAGTGTTTTCTATCCAAACATTTCTCCAGAGACTGGAATTGTGAAAGTCCAAACCGTGGGTAGGAGTAGATAGAAATGTTAACATAATTTACGTTATAGGATGATCACCTTGCTGATGCTATGGTGTATGGCCTGAGTCATGTAGGTGTCTATGTTATCTACTTGTGAATGTCAGGAGATGAAAGGGTTGGCATTCGGATTCTACTACAATGAAAGGTTACGAAACTAACATTTGGATCAGTTGATTTTTTTCAGGGATTTATCTTGGATTTCAAACTAAGTGCCCTTATCAGGAAAACTGTTTTTTGTTCGAAATTGGAATTGAAAAAACATTCTTATTTGCCTAAATTCAGAGGTATTGAATTTTAACATTTGAATCAGTGAAATGTGAATCGAAACTAATCCTTAAAATTTAAAAGTCTGTTTTGTAATTTTTGCGGACATTTGCTGCTAATATCTGTCTCGAAACAGGTCTAGGTAAATCGCTGTGTTTGGTTAGCTGTCAGTATCCTCAAGGATTCCTGGATCCAATATATTTCTGGCACTGAACATTTGTATCCCCAGCAAACTACAGAACTAGTGGGGTGGTAGGGTAGCCTAATGGTTAAAGCGCTGGTTCATCATGCCGAAGACCCAGGTTCGATTCCCCACATTGGTACACTATGTGAAGCCCATTTCTGGTGTCCCCTGCCGTGATATTGCTGGAATATCGCTAAAAACAGCGTAAAATCATACTCACTCACTACAAAACTAGTGCTGTAGTGAGTGAGCGAGTTTAGTTTTACACCACTTTTAACAATATTCCCGCAATATCACGGCCAGGGACACCAGAAATGGGCTTCACACATTGTACCCATGTGGGGAGTGACAAACGGACACTTTAACCACTAGGCCCCGACTAGTGCTGTAAGTCACATAAGTTAATGCATGTAAATTAATTGAAAGTCTGATTCATCAGGTGGATACTAAACCCTTTTTTATTCCATTACACTGTATTACAATACATTATACATTACAGATGTATGCAATGTAATATACAGTACTAGTTTGTTTCTTGTTTAATGCTGCACACAGCAATAATTGAGTCTGGACCAGACAATCCAGTGATCAACAGCATGAGCATTGATCTATGCAATTGGAATACAAGTGTGGACCAAGACCACCCGATCCCCTTAGTTGCTTCTTATGACAAGCATGAAGCAATTCTAACCTGGATCTTCATGGGTGCAGAACCAGTTGAATGAGATTACTCAGATTAGTATGTCCAGTTAATGTTAACTTGAGTACAGGTGACTTGACAAATAGCTAAATGTTTCCGTAGCAGTAGTGAACACTCCTGTATCATAAAAAAAGGGAACACTTCTTGATGAGCAATGCTTTTATCTGTATAAACAATCTGTTTAAGAAAATTGGTGTGTTCCGCTAAACAACACAATAGGATGAAACTGGTGAATTAAGAATAAATTAGCAGAATTTGAAAGTAAAGGTTGATGTGGTGAATGCTGCTTTCAGATGGTGTTCCGTTATAGTCAGAAGTTGCACAGGTGTGTTATCATGTTGTTGAAAATCAGAATTTCTTTGTGTAAGAAAATATGAAGGTCACTTTGACATAAAGTAAAAAATTCATTCTGAGCTAATATGTGCAGAAAATGCCATAAATATACTTTCTGTTGCCAGGCATTTGTGAATGTAACCTGATTGACTTCCAGCCTGATTCTCTAGTCTGTTGTCATGGCTTCCGATTATTTCGCAAGCCAGGCTGTCTGTTTGATCATTTGTTACACTCCTGCCAATAATGTTACAACAACATGAGACTGGCCAAGCAGTGCTTAGACGCTGGGATTAGTGGCAGATAGAGTTACTGCTTACTAGTCTACCAGTTCACACACTCTGTGGCACCTGCCGTGCTGGAGACATTCTTCTATCAGTGTAGGCTAGAGAGGTAATATAGGGTTATCTGTTGTCTACTGTAGACATTCTTCTATCAGTGTAGGCTAGAGAGGTAATATAGGGTTATCTGTTGTCTACTGTAGACATTCTACTATCAGTGTAGGCTAGGGAGGTAATATAGGGTATTCTGTTGTCTACTGTAGACATTCTACTATCAGTGTAGGCTAGGGAGGTAATATAGGGTATTCTGTTGTCCACTGTAGACATTCTTCTATCAGTGTAGGCTAGAGAGGTAATATAGGGTTATTTGTTGTCTACTGTAGACATTCTACTATCAGTGTAGGCTAGGGAGGTAATATAGGGTTATCTGTTGTCTACTGTAGACATTCTACTATCAGTGTAGGCTAGGGAGGTAATATAGGGTTATCTGTTGTCTACTGTAGACATTCTACTATCAGTGTAGGCTTGGGAGGTAATATAGGGTTAACTGTTCTCTTCTTAGTAACAGACATTCTATCTGAGTTAGCTGTTGTCTACAACACTCATTCTGCTGTGGCTAGATAGGTAATATACAGTTAGCTGTTGTCTACAACACTCATTCTGCTGTGGCTTAGTAAGGGAGGTAATATAGAATTAGCTGTTGTCTACAACACACATTCTACTGTAGCTAGATAGGTAATATAGAGTTAGCTGTTGTCTACAACACACATTCTGCTGTGGCTAGGGAGGTAATATAGAGTTATCTGTTGTCTACAACACACATTCTGCTGTGGCTAGGGAGGTAATATAGAGTTAACTGTTGTCTACTACACTCATTCTGCTGTGGCTAGATAGGTAATAGATAGAGTACAACACACATTCTGCTAGTAATATAGAGTTATCTGTTGTCTACAACACACATTCTGCTGTGGCTATTCTGCTGGAGGTAATATAGAGTTAGCTGTTGTCTATATAGAGTTAGGATCTGTTGTCTACAACACACATTCTGCTGTGGCTAGGGAGGTAATATAGAGTTAACTGTTGTCTACTACACTCATTCTGCTGTGGCTAGATAGGTAATATAGAGTTAGCTGTTGTCTACAACACACATTCTGCTGTGGCTAGGGAGGTAATGTAGAGTTAGCTGTTGTCTACAACACACATTCTGCTGTGGGTAGATAGGTAATATAGAGTTAGCTGTTGTCTACTACACACATTCTGCTGTAGCTAGATAGGTAATATAGAGTTAACTGTTGTCTACAACACATATTCTGCTGTGGCTAGATAGGTAATATAGAGTTATCGGTTGTCTATAACACACATTCTGCTGTGGCTAGGGAGGTAATATAGAGTTAGTTGTTGTCTACAACACACATTCTGCTGTGGCTAGATCGGTAATATAGAGTTAACTGTTGTCTACAAACATATTCTGCTGTGGCTAGGGAGGTAATATAGAGTTAGTTGTTGTCTACAACACACATTCTGCTGTGGCTAGATAGGTAATATAGAGTTAGCTGTTGTCTACAACACACATTCTGCTGTGGCTAGGGAGGTAATATAGAGTTAGCTGTTGTCTACAACACACATTCTGCTGTGGCTAGGGAGGTAATATAGAGTTAGCTGTGGTAAGCTGTCATCATGTGTTCTTCACATGATATTGACACAAACAGTCAACCACAAATCATTGATCTCCGAATTGCAATTACCCAAGAACCCGATTTGTAGGTGCATGCTGACATGACTGTTCTCCTAACAAATTTGTTATTGGAGTATTTTCTTTTTAATGAGTACACATGACAAGACATTTACGTTATCTGAGTGACCTTGACTTTGAAATTGTTGTATTTTGAAAATCATATTTTGAACCAAATGTCTTTTTGGGGGGATGTGAAGGAACACATTTTAATGTCCCGAGAGGTATCCGTTCAGCTGTCCTGAAGCCAGTCCAGGTATAGCTAGAGCACATGACTTGATAGAACAGGACTTGACATCTGTGACCTACAGGAGGCCCAGTAATTATCAGACTGAATATAGGCTGTTGAATGATGTCTGTTTTTAGATAAGCTGGAAGTTGTAAACATGTGTACAAAGAAACTTTTACTGAAAGAATAACTTGGGAAAGACATTTTATGTAACATTTTTATATTTTTTAATCAGTATCTTTGATAAATCGACTAATCTCCAACTGATGAAATTGAAAAATTACTTTTGGTGCAAATGAACTGTATGTGATAATTTTCGTCCTTTTTATAAAGAATTAACGATAATTTCCTGTCGTGCTGAGTGTTTACTTGAGAAGCAGGTGCCTGCTGAATGTAACTATTTATACGGCCTTGCTTTTTGTTATGCGTTAGCTCTTGGTCTAATGAACAGTTTTCTGGAAAACACTGTCATACAGTTTTTAATTAGGCAGAAGATAAATCATTACCCTGTCAGCTGCCCTGGGCAATAGATATAATTAAATTTTTTATATTTTATAGTGAATGTTTTTGTCCCCATCAGAAAGCTAAATGCCTTTTACTTGTTCCAGATCTTTTCCCCCCTGCGTCGGTCCAGCCTCTTCTTGGGACAGCACTGCGACTACACATCATCTCAGCGTATGCAGCATGGGATCAATGTAAGTGGTACTGACAGGACAGGTGTAAATGTTGTGTACCATATTTGTACACCATAATAGGGGCGATGGGGTAGCCTAATGGTTAAAGCGTTGACTCGTCACACCGAAGACCCGGGTTCGAATCCCCACATGGGGACACTGTGTGAATCCCATTTCATGGTGTCCCCTGCCATGATGTTGCTGGAATATTGCTGAAAGCGGCGTAAAACCAAACTCAGTCAGTCAGTACACCCTAATAGCCATTTAGGTAGTTGGTTTGCTTTGGTTGGCTGGTTCATTTGTTGTTTAACAATGCACTCAGCAATATTCCAACTATATGGTGTCAGTTTGTAAATAATCAAGTCTAGACCAGACAGTCCAGTGATCAACAGCATGAGCATCAATCTACGCAATCAGGATACAATGCCAACCAAGTCAGCGAGGCTGACCACCCGATCCTGTTAGTTGCCTTTTACAACACTTTAGACAGAACAAGGCTGCTGATATAAACTTTAATATTCACAACATTTTCCTCTAGTTCAGGGTGATCTCCTTGATGTGTAGTAAGATGTGAAAAGATGGTACTTCTTGTTGCCCTTCCTGGTGCTTGACGAGGAGGAGATAACGTAAGGACAACTCGGCGCAGTGTCAGGTGTTTTAGTGTGGGTTATTCATGTTGAAACTGTGGCAAGGTATCTCAATGGGTCTTTACTGTGAGACTGGCATCAGGTGGGACTAGTGCAAGCAGACACTGAATGATGGGTAGGTTAGAAATTCCTTGTAGTAGAATGACATGGATAAAATTAAATGGAACACACAATACAGGTTCGTCAAGCTTCAATGTCTTGCAAGAGAACCACTTGATTTTACAAAAACGTTTTTTACATACAACCCTGACTTTCATGCAGGAAAACTTGGCAAATAAATGGAAAATGGTGAGATCTTGCAGCACTTACCACACAGTAGCATTCATGAAATAAACTTGAGGATTTAGAAATTGAGTATGGCGTGCCAACTTTCTAAATTACAACTGCATGATGCTAAATACCAAGCTCATGGTACTGTTGAAATTACACTCACAAGGTTTGGAGATGGATTGAAATCATCAAAAGTTCTGTTTTGTTGGCACTCCTAAATTCCAAAGGGCACTCCTGAACATCTTCCGCATTTCTATCCCAGGTAAGAATTACAGGAACTATGTTTGCTCAGTTCACAGGAGATTATGGGATCAAATCTTCTGGTGCATGTTGAGACTGATTAGGTAAACAAGTTTTACCAGTTAATCATGTTTACAAATATGATGCTGAATGGTAACTGACTAGTTGCAAGAAGCCACAATATTTACTTCCTGAAAGTGAAAGAGATTGTGCCAGCATTGATTGGTGGTCCCCACAATTTGAATGTGCTTCTCAAGCTCCTAAAAGTGACAGGGTATTGTGAGGCTCTCCAGTTGTACGCCACTTTTATCAATATTCCTGCAATATCATAGCGGGCGACACCAGAAATGGGCTTCACACATTGTATCCATGTTGGGAATTGAACCCGGGTACTTTTTATCTGTGAATCTTACTCAACACTAACTTGACTAAGAGACAGATATGTTACTAAACGTGTGTTTTATGAAACCATATACTAGTTACACTTTGGTTTCTTTAATTCAGAAAAATAACCCTATATATTGGTATATATACTGAGGGAAACAAATAAGGGAACACCACTTCATGGTATTGTTCCTATATTTATTCCAAGATTTCCTCCCACAGCGCTATTCAAAGCTGGTGATGAAAACTGGAAAGTAATATAGGAACACTTGAATTTTCCTGTGATCCTTCATTTGTTTTTCTCAGTATACTTATACTATGTCAGAAATATTTTAAGTCACAGAAAATAGGTAAATGATCTTGCCCAAGGAAACAAATCATCAATGTATGTATCCTTGGCCGGAGGCCTGTTACTGAAATAAATCTGTCTGTCTGTCTGTCTGTCTGTCTGTCTGTGGGTGCACGCATGTGCATGTGGGCATGCATGCATGTGTGTGTGTACTATGTCAACATGTCCATGTGTGTGTTGAACTTCAACACAGATGTAACCTCAAGGTGAAATAGCTGAGACTCCCATTTCATTTGCCTTCATAGACTAATTGGAATGTGTCCAACATGGAGTGTCATAATGAAATATGATGCTATATATCCATGTATGATCTGACAGCCGGCTCCAAGGATAAACCCACCCACAAGTCTTCTCACTTTAAATGAGCACAGAATGTTCTCTCAGTAATCCCCAAAGTCCAGAGATAATTCTTGACTGGTATTGATTGGTCCTTGAAATTATCTATGGGCTTACTGCCAATAACATGAAATTACATTGACCCAAATATTCAGCTAGCATCAAAAAGTGGAAGGCCGTTAATCTCAAATATTCTTCTGTGTGTTTTTCATGCTGGGTGTATCAATATTTCAACAATTTTATTATAGGAAATGTTAACACCACGGATTGGCTTTTCATACTCTGCACTTGTCAGTACTTAATCATTCAGAGGGAATAGCAAGATTTCGTTTATATACCGGTATTTCATTTAGCTGAGATCTGAGCATGCTTTCGAAAGTCAAACTATGGGTAACATTGGGTTCAAGTTCAAGCATATCTGTTTCAAGGGAGGCTACTCTCGTTGGTTTTGTCAAAGGTGAATTGTTTCCGATCTATACTACTCAAAAAAATCCAAGGAACACCTAGATTTTTATTATAAAGAAAACACATATGATGCGATGAAAACAAATTTTATTGGTGGCTAAGGTCAATTCATTGCAGAAACAAAGTCTTCTTGCCGCCTCACGTATGGCAATACCCTCCTAGATCCACCCAATAGCTCTCCCCCTGTCAACAATGCTTAGACGGCGACGTTGAGGCTTGGTTTTCAACATGAGATTGATCTGTGTTCCAAACGTTGCTTATAAGGGAAATTTGTGCATGATGTACAGAGAGATTTGCACTAGCAGGTTTGGGTGTATTTGAGAGAATAAGACCTATGGAAGCCTCAGTTTGCAACTCAAAAATGCGTGAAAATGTCTAACTTCCAACTCAAAACCCTTCAAAATTCTATCAGTTTATCGTCCTAACATAATGTGACCTTTAAACCATTAGCAGTTGTCGATCAGATGGCATCATTATTTTGCACCCAATCTCTGTAAATTTTCTGGAATATTAACTAAAAACTTCTAACCCAAAATTACCACTGTTCCTTGGATTCTTTTGAGTAGTATATTTTCTATTATTATAATTAAACCTAGACAGCATTGCTCTTCAAAATGTTTAAAATGGAAACATGAAATACCACACACTTTTAACAAATTTCTGTTAAATTGAAACATCGTGTACACTGAAGAAATATTCAAAAGAAAAATTATTCTAAATTTGTGGGCTCAATCTTCACCTAACAATTGTACATGAAAATAATCATGATTCCTAACTATTTGTGTTCCATATATTATAAGTTATCACATTGTGTCGAGGGAAATACAGGGTTTTATCAGTCCCGAGTAACTGAAGCCATCCACATCAAACGCCAAAAGCCCACCATCAACCGAGACCAAGGATACTTCATTCCATCCGCTTATGATGCACTCATCCACCAAGCCCAATCTACTGTATAAACTCTGCTGTATAAACATCTCATTATTATTTGTACATCATTGGCTTCCACGCCTGTCCTTTGTCTACTCTCTGGCTTCATCAGCTTTCTGCCTAGCCAATTATGTTAATTATGTTGTTTTCTATGTTACATTGTTAAATCCAGTATATATATACTTCCCCCTTCTTCATGTTCCATTATGCTTGACAACGGTACAAGAATCTGTATCGAAACGTCGCACTCACGAATTAAAAGAAGTTGTTATCCATAAAGTTTGTTCTATATTCTATATTCTTACTCGGGACTGATAAAACCCTGTATTTCCCTCAACACGATGTGTTAACGCATTTATCTAGCCGATTGTGTTTACTAAATCAATGTAATGTTCAAAGTTAGGGTCTATTTCTTTTTCTGTCAAGTAGTCCCTTAATAATTTTGCTGCAATGTCATTGGCCCTTTGGTGTTCCTTGGAACAACGTTAGAACGTTTTGCTTCAATTTCATTCTCAGTTGTTGTGGCAAAACGTTTCCTTGCTGCAATGTTGACAACAGCTGATCGATTGACCTCAATGCAGCGCACGTTACTAAAGGCTTGGCGATGCACACTTTTCTCACTTCGCGTGGTCACCGAGGCGTGGCGGGATAATATGACATTTGTACTCACTGCTCGCGGATCGTGACGGGTATACATGGTATTTTATCAGAGTCACGTGAACCAATCAAAAGTCGACATTCTTACATGAGGCTGGATAAATGTTGTTATGTGGTACATACCTCATTTTATTGTTAATAGTATGTCAGAATATATATTCAAGGCATGATTGGCTGCAATATGATTGTGGTTGTTTTGTAAAAGGTAAACAAAAGTAGTGTGTTATGGAGGGATACTGATTTCATGGCAATAAATATGAACATTATTGAATGATATTTTGACTAAAATTAATAAACTAGATTACGAAAGTAAGTCCAGATGTGCAAAGATGTTTTATTACTAGATAGTGAAGCAACAGGCTTTACTTCCGTAATTCAATATGAATTCGTTGACACTCTATTTATGAAGACTAATCACGGAGGGAAGATGAACGAAGGTTGGTGTTTCGGCTTATGTATGAAACAAACCATTTTGATGCTGATTTTAAGGGACCTTTCAAGTTAGGACCTTGGCTTATATATGAGATCGGCTTATCTACAGTCATATATCTTACTTCCTTCTCAAGAACTTTTGAGAGGCAGGTATGCAGTACATATATAAAGGATTGGCAAGAGGGGATTTAGTTTTATCTATGTAAATAGATAGAGTGCTTTGTGGACGTGTCTCTGGGTCAGGTCACAAACCACTTGTAAGCAAGACAGTACTGGGAGAGTCCGTCCTTGTAATACTTTGTAGTGATGTTATTGAATACAAGGGTCTGTAACTACAGTGCTTTAGGACACTGAGTGGGTGTGAGTCCTAATGGCTCTTGGACATGAAATGGCTGCTTATCTTGTGGAAGAGATTCATGTTTGTAACATGTTGAAAATATACTGTAGTTAATCTGTAATGGTATGACCTTAGATCAACCATTGTCATATAAATATTCTTTCGTTTGTTTGACAATGAGATTTTTTCAGTCACTTTTATCAAAGTTTTTAGTCTATGCATAGGATAGAAAGGCAATAAATTTGCATATTAACTTTGTTGTCATGAAATATTTGACGAATGACATTTTGGGATATTGTGGTCAGTCCATAAATAGGGATTGAAATAGGGATTTCAACTGGAGCTGCTCAAGTCAGGGTGACATCTGTTTTTAGATCAGTGTTTTGGATTTCACTAACTTGAGTATTTCAGGTAATATTTGAAATATTGTATAGGTTAAGGAGCATCATTCTGAGAGATATAAACAATCAAATGGGACATACAGTTTACTCTCTAGAATCACCACTCACAAGTAATGTTAGTCATACACAGGACGTTTCACATGGATTCTTTCTTATATGTAACACATTGAAATTCAGGCAGATACCTATCACTTTTACAAACATAACTTGTGGGTGGGTGTTCTGGAGCAATTTGATAGAGAAAGCTCTTAGTTATTTTCAGAACTATGACTAATTGTTTTGTGAAAAACTGTAAGCTCAATTCTAATTGGGCCATTTGAAATAGATTCTTTGACATGAATGTGCTCAATGTCAACTGAGCATTTATATTATGAGGCAGTCAGAATCTCACAAGGCACTAGTAGTGAATTCGGACACATCTTGCAGAGAAAGTCAGTATGTTTATGTACAATATAGAACAAACTTTATGGATAACAACTTCTTTTTATTCGTGAGTGCGACGTTTCGATGCAGATTCTTGTACCGTTGTCAAGCTGATGTAGATTCTTGTACCGTTGTCGCTTGACAACGGTACAAGAATCTGCATCGAAACGTCGCACTCACGAATAAAAAGAAGTTGTTATCCATAAAGTTTGTTCTATATTGTACTTCCCAACTTCTAAAATGCCACTCAAAGGAGTTGTTTATGTACAGTGTTGTACAGTGTACAGTAAATTATTGCGAGATTCCCACATGATTGAGACCTCGAGAGAACATGTTTCAGTCACGACTGTACTCCATACACCAGCGATGTTGTTTTAAGCTATCAGTAAACAGTATAAACAAGATAGTAAGAAGTTCTTACAAGTCGAGAAAACTTGCCACGTGTGAAAACAGAAATTAGTTCAGGGCTAACTGCTTTAATTTCTGTGCCTGCTTACAACCATCAACACTGTTAAGTACTATGGCATACAAACACAGTGGTATGTGTTAATCACCTGTTTCATGTTGACGTACATCCTTACTGTAATTGAAGTGAGGCTTGTCTACAGGGGGTAAACATTGTGTGGGTGGAGGGTGTACCATAAATCCTTGAGATACCTGCCTACTTGTCAAAATATCTCAACGTAGATATTCCTTAAGGTAGTAACTTGATACTGAAACGAAAGCAGTTTGTCTAAAATAGAAACCATACAATTTTTATAGTCCCGTTACTTGTCCAATTTTCATTTTAAATTGAAAGTGTTTTTAATTATAAAAAGATGGCAGTTTTGAATAGACGGTATGCCAGGATTTACGGGAAGTCTTGGCTTGTGTATCAGCGGCACCTCACACGATGGTGTTACCTGGTGCATCTGAATAACCCTGTCTGCTTTTGTTAAGACTGGTTTAAATAGGTTTTATGACGCAATAGAAGTAAAGCAGTAATTGAAATGAGGTAAGAAGTAAATTAGATGAACAACCATACCATGCAGCTGGATTGTCGAGTGTGTGTGTGTGGGTGACTGCATTGGTGACTTGTTCAGACTTATTCCAATTTTTTTTGAGGGTGATTCCCCACAAAGTGAATTTCTGGTGTGTCCCGACGTGATATTGCTGGAATATTGCGTAAAACCATACTCACTCAATTGCTAATTACTGTTTTTTAATCTGAGCCCACTTAGAAACCAGTTCATTTTGTAATTCTGTAAAACAGATCCCCACTCAGACTTCGTATACTGACTCTGCAGTGATTGTTTTTGTTTTATCCTTTAATGCCAACTAATAGGTAGGGTACCAAGTACTTTCCTTAGTATCTGTTGGTATGGGGCACCAATGGTTCGAACCACTGACCTGTTAGTCTTTTGGAAGGGTGGTGCGGTAGCCTAGTGGTTAAAGCATTCGCTCGTCAAGCCAAAGACCGTGGTTCGATTCCTCACATGGAAACAATGTGTGAAGCCCATTTCTGGTGTTCCCCACCACAATATTGCTGGAATATTGCTAAAAGAGGCATTAAACCATACTCACTAATGTTGCAGAATTGCACTTTAAGAGCTGTCTAACTTGATTCTGTTCCTGTTACAGACCTGACGAGTGCCATCAGCTCCCAGGGGACGGACAAGTGCTACCCCTGCCCCCTGATGGACGGGGAGTACAGCACCAGGACCGGGATGCTCCTGCGAGACACCTTCAAGCCCATGTACAGCCTCATCCAGGAGGTGTGGCGGGACCTCGGCATCACCAGAACAGGTAGGGTATCATTTCTATAACTCCTTTGACAATTATTGACTGGTGCATAGCACAGTTAGTTGGTTGGTTGGTTGGTTGGTTGGTTGCCACACTCGGCAATATTCTATCTATATGGCAGTGGTCTGTAAACAATCTAGTCTGGACCAGACAATCAAGTAATCAACAGCATCAGCATCAATCTACGCAGTTGGGATACACTGACATGTGTCAACCAAGTCAGCGAGCCTGACCACCCGATCCTGTTAGTCTCCTCTTACGACAAGCATGGGTTACAGAAGACCAATTCTAACCTGGACCTTCATGGGTACAGTTTAGTACAGAGAGGCTTCTCACTGATGACAGTCTTGCAACAGAACTAAGGGGAGACTCCCTCTTGTTGACAGCTACTGCGGGGCACCTGTCTCTTCAGGGATACTGATATAGCTTCATAAGTTACTGGGCCTGTTCAGTTTCACAATGTTCCATCTGGCAGACTTGTTCGAAGAAAAATAACCAACAGCTTTGTCATCACCTTCATTATGATGCGAACTAAAATGTAATTCACTTTGTCTAGGATTAGTCGTTATAGTTCACAGAACAATGTTTAATTTTGTAGGAGATTCACAGGGTTTCACATCAGTTGAATTTCTAGGATATTTACTGATTGTCAGATATTACCAAATGTGAAGGAGATACACAAGATTGTCCTGTCAAAAGTTGTTAAAATCATGAAATGTACTGATACAATGTTCAGCAGTAAAATCCAAGCTTTATATGATTGTGTTTCTTCACACAATGTATGAAGCCCATAACTGGTGTCCGCCGCCATGATATTGCTAGATATTGCTAAAAGCGGCTTAAAATCATACTCACTGTTCTTCATATTGTTCATCGGGGCCGTAGGGTAGCCTAATGGTTAAGGCGTTCGCTCGTCACTCCGAAGATCTGGGTTCGATTCCCCACATGGGCACAATGTGTGAAGCTCATTTCTGGTGTCCCCCCCCCCCACCGTGATATTGCTGGAAATTGCTTAAAGCCGCATAAAATCATACTCACTCACTGTTCTTCATATTGTTCATCGGGGCGGTGTGGTAGCCTAATGGTTTAAGCTTTCGCTCGTCACTCGGAAGACCCGGGTTCGATTCCCCACATGGGCACAATGTGTGAAGCTCATTTCTGGTGTCCTCCGCCGTGATATTGCAGGGATATTGCTAAAAGCGGCGTAAAACCATACTCAGTCAGTCATATTGTTCATAGAGAAGATGTACTCCATTAAGATATTGTTCCTGTGTCTGCAGATTCGTCAAGTTTGCTTGTGAGACAAGACGTGGACTTGTCGCTTGTGGCGGGCATCTGTCTGCGTGTCCTGATGACGTGTCGGGCTGCACACAGCTGGTGCATGGTCAAGACACATCAGTTCCTGGCTTCCTGGTCGGTCAGCGTGTTCCTCCTTATCACACACACTGACCTCAAGGTGAGTTAGTGAACAAATGGCATTACTGCTGCATCAGCACTTTTGCAACTTTCGTGGCTCTAAATATGTGAATGATTATTGGTAAGTGGTATGTCAGCAAGCAGCTGATTATACCAATTTACAATAACTTCAATGAGAATGCTTGGTGGACCTTTAACTTTAGGCTTAATGAAGACATACAGCGCATTTTCTTGTGTCATTTTTAATCCAATTTTGCTTCTTGTCTGACCTGTTTGTACTAAGTATAAATTGGTAATTTTCAATTTTGTTGGAGGTGAATTTAGGCAGAAGACATCACTTTGGGGTCAATGAGAACAAGTTTACATGTTCATTACTTATGTAATGTAACCATGTTATCTGTTTACAGTAATGTTTTTGAGTGCTGTTTGCAGTTGAATAACACAGCTAAATCCAAGAACCTACAGTATTCTATCATCAATAATGGAATAGACAAACCATGATTGATATAATGAGCATTGTCCTAAGCTGTTTGGGTACAATGACCTGAGGTCAGAGAGAGTAACCTCCCATTGTCGGACCATCTGTGTAGTTGTCTCTTTCATCAGTTATAGGTTACTGGAGAGCTTTCCTGGAATCCCCAGGATTATTGAAATTATATTAATCTACATTTGATTTTGTTGTTTTTGTTTTTGAAGATTTGTTCAGTCAGTGTATTTTGTGAGGTGATCAGGTTGAACTTCACCTCTTCTTGTTGATTGTCACTATGTAAAGCTGTGCATTGTCATTCAGTGGCTCTGCCAGAGCTTGATGGTCATTGGTTTCAAGCCCAGGGTTTCTTTCATTATGATGTGTAAAGGCAGGAGTTATGGATGTCAACTTCTTCATTCACCTAGGACCACCTCTGTGGTGTAGTGGTTTGAGCCTCCGCCCGGAGAGCGGAAGGTCGCTATTCGATCCCCGACCGCGTCATACCAAAAAGATGTTAAAATATAGTACTTGTTGGTCCCTGCCTGGCGCTCGGCAAAATGGGTACAACAAGGACTGGTCGACTCGGAGTCAGTATAATGTGTCTGAGTGGAGTATTCATGCTTCACTGCGGCATGGTATCTCAGTGGGCTAACACTATAAAACCAGCTTAAGTCTGGGCTAGTACAAGCAGCCGCACATACACATACACACGCATGCACGTAGTCATATGAGCGAAATATTCTCAAGCACGACGTTAAACCCAATTCCACCACCACCATCATTCACCTGATGAAAGAGTAAGAATATACTCCGAAACATCATGTCCCTCAAAAGAAAGAAGTTGATATGTTCTAGCCATTATGTATATCAGTTCTATACGCCATTCAACAACTATATTATGATCTTTGTTCTGTCATACCATCCCTGTTCCCATGTGTTGCATCAAAGCTGAATCACTCTGATATATGCTACTCATATACTTTGAATCAGTTACAGAACACCTCACTCTTTCATATCACTGTAGTTAGGAAACATTTGGGATGTTCTTTAACTTTGTAAAGTTGTCTGTTTCGAATGAAGTTCAAAGTGAATTAATAAGAAATCTCTCTCTTGTGTATCCTGCATCGTGCACAATGTCAGATTATTGACGGATGGTCCTTTCGTCCTGCAGATGCTAGTGGATGAGACCAAGCAGGTTCTGTACTACCTGGAGAACCTGACCCAGTCCGGGATCACCCAGAACTCCACTCTCGATCTTCTGTCAGGAGGACAGATCTCACAGACCTGTAATCAACTAACGGAGATCAATGCCCAGCTGCAGGTGAGGGTGCAAAGAGGTCAAGCCTTGTTAAAAAAATTTAATTGTTTGAATAACTGGAATTATGAAACCATTTTTAACTAATGTTATATTTGGGATCACACTTTCTCAGTAAAGTGCAGATTCTAGTACTTTTGTTGGTTTGAGTCCTATCTAGGATTCAAACCCACACCCTCAGAGTCAGGCACCTAATCGCCAGCACACAAAATCACCTGCCTAACCAACTCAGCCCCCGCAGCTACTTTCTAAATGGCATTGTGTATTTATGAAAACATTTATTAAATTGGCCTAGATTAAATAGCAGAGACAAAAAAGGATTCTGTTGATTTTGTTCTCACAAAAACAATTATTTGCAATATTTGTTGTGTCAGAGTCTCTGTGGAGCATCAATGAAGCTGTTTTCTGAGAAGTGTGGAAAGATTGCATCAGACTACTTCCGAGATACAATGCCATTGGGTAAACAGTGGAGAAGAAAGACTGCCCTAGGTATGTACACAAGCCACACATAGATGGGTAATCATTCCGTGCATCAGTCACAACACTTGTGTAGCAGCCATAAAATATGCTGGGATTCCAACCATGGATTACCGATCTGATATCAGACACCTTGTCCACATGACCAAAGAGGTTAGGCCTGTGAGCAATCTGACATGGTAAGGATGTCATCTTGCCACACTTGCATTAATCGACCAGCAGTACTTGTTATCCAGCCTCTACAGAACTTTCAAGGTGACAGCGGCTGCTGTCTCAGAGCATCTACTGTTTGTTCAGGCTGGATGATAGTGGTACCCCTCTCTCCGCGAATTGCAGCACCTTTGACCGTGCCACCGAAAAGACATTCATAACCCTTGTCCTGTAAACGAAACCCACCTATTTGGCCTTTACATGAATCCTTTTGAATTTTTTTTTGTCTTCATTTGATGTCTTAACCTATTGCTGCAGTTGTATATCTCATCTGACCTTGACCTTTGTAGAAGCACCTGTGTCAGCGAATCTGTACGTGGAGCAGGTGTTGGAGGCCATCTTGGAACCAGTCATTGATGGAGTCAGTAAACTCAACCTGCCTTCTCAGCTCAGTGTCATCTCCATGGCAACTGTGGCCATTTGTGAAGCATGGACAAACCTCATCCTGAAGGAAAAGATCAAATTCAGGTAGTCAACATATGTATCATTGAAAAAATCCCAGGGGATTGAAAAGGGCTGTCATTTTCTGTTTTGTGCTCCCCTGGATGCAAATGACTGGAAACAGCACTGTAAAGAGATGCATTTGTGTATTTAATTTTATGTAAAACAGTTGATAAAAATTATTCTAGATTAAATAACAGAGACGAGAAAAAGGAATTTGTGTCGGTCAGCTGCTGATTTTGTTCTCATGATAACAAACATAAACATTTTTTCCAATTGTTTCACAAGCATTAAGATAAGAGCTAAACTTTTCACTACTAATCAAACGACAAATGATATAAGAGAAGCAGATGTTCCATAACTTGTTTTAGGACTATATTGGATAGTCAACAGCTTGACTTGACCATACATAAAGTATTGGGGAAAGGGATCATTATGTAATTAGTGTTGAATAACATTTTGGTGTTGTGTGGCTACCTATTTCAATCTTGGTTTCACTTTTCCTTTCGATGTAGGCCTTGACCTTAGAATCTTAGAATTAAGCATCACATGACTTTATCATGCAGATTTGAGCTTTGCGTTTAGATTTGAATGTTATGCAGTCTTTGCAACAAGCTTTCAGTCCACTGGCCCAAACCAGTCTCTTAACATAATTTGTAAGTTGATCTTAGTTTTAATATATGGACGTTAAAAGCAAAGCCTACAGGAAAGAAATGTCTGTTTATTAGTTTACGAAAGTTCTGACTGTTAGTGATCAGGTGGTTACCGTGACCAATATATTGTGTTATTGGATGAGAAAGCCACAATAACTTGGTGCGCCTAGTGGCTGCAAGAGTTGTATACTTCCCAGGGAGTTGAGCTTGATAACACGATGTGCCGTTGAGATTGACATCCAATGATCGAGGGAAAAAATACCAGTGCCTTGAGCAAGCACTAGTTGCCTGTATATGTGCGCTATATAAATATCGTATACAATAATAATATAGTAACATGCAACCAGGATCTGTTTGGTGGTCCAAGTATTGGTGGTTGATGCATGCCAGTGCATCCAAACAGCTTAGCTTGATGCTCATGATGTCAATCACTTGAATGTCTGGTCCACACTTGAACTTCTATAGAACGTCATCATATAGCTAGAATATTGCTGAGTGAAGCATTAAAAAAGAAGGAAAGTTCAGAAAACTGTTGCTAACTTTGATGAGAACAGTATTGTTCCTCTCTAAGCATGGCCAATTCTAAAGTAAATGTAAGAAATGTATTTTATTAAGTTTATTCAATAAAACTTTCTTTGATGATTCATTTGCCAATACTGAATTTACATTTTGAACAGTTCTACAAGATGTGTATAGGAATCAGCTATCTGTATTCTAATATCTTTTCTATTCCCATGGAAAGGAGACTTCAAGTAGAGAATAAGTCTGCAAGAACTTGGTGGAATACAAGAGTTTCGAAAAGTGAACTGTAATGATTATTCCTTTCTTCCTTTGGTTAAATGCCAGAAATGCCATTAGTCTTTGAAGCCTTAGTGGCATCCACCCCTTTGTATTCATGGGATCTTGGTTACCTTTCCTGTATGGGATCACAACCTATAGTAATGATAAATAAATAATAATTATTGTATCTCAGTGATGTAGATTAATGTTCGTGGTGTTAGCTGTATTTACAGCCTGTTGTGAAAGAAAAAATCTCAGTGACTACAGGCCTGCGACAACTTTGACTTTACTAAGAAATGTTGTGTTTCAGTGTTCCTGGTGCCCAACAACTTGGTATTGACTTCACTTTCCTCAAGTCTTGGATTGGTAGCGCCATAGCTAACCCAGAGGTCAAACAGAGTGTCCTTGACCTGTCCATCTTCAAGTTTCTGAATGGTATTGTCCTTATTTTAAAGAAGCAGCCAAAGAAACGTACGGCAAGCCGCCTACGAGACTGTTCAGCAGAGGACCTCAGTGAGTGCTTAAGTATGTGGAACTGTAGTCAGCAATGGTCCTGCTGCACGCCTTCCTATACCCTCACCCCCACCCACACCTATCCACAAACTGCCTCCTGTATAAAGTATAATCTGCACTGTTCCTGCTGCATGCCCTCCTATACCCCCCCCCGCCCACCTATCCACAAACTGCCTCCTGTATAAAGTATAATCTGCACTGTTCCTGCTGCACCCCTTCCTATATCCCCCACCCCCACCTATCCACAAACTGCCTCCTGTATAAAGTATAATCTGCACTGTTCCTGCTGCACACCTTCCTGTACCCCCACCCACACCTATCCACAAACTGCCTCCTGTATAAAGTATAATCTGCACTGTTCCTGCTGCACACCTTCCTATACCCCCACCCCCACCCATCCACAAACTGCCTCCTGTGTAAAGTATAATCTGCACTGTTCCTGCTGCACACCCTTCCTATACCCCACTTCCTATAACCCCACCCCACCCCACCCCCACCTATCCACAAACTGCCTCCTGTATAAAGTATAATCTGCACTGTTCCTGCTGCACACCTTCCTATACCCCCACCCCCACCCATCCCACAAACTGCCTCCTGTATAAAGTATAATCTGCACTGTTCCTGCTGCACACCTTCCTATACCCCACCCCCACCTATCCACAAACTGCCTCCTGTATAAAGTATAATCTGCACTGTTCCTGCTGCACTGCCTTCCTATACCCCCACCCCACCTATCCATCCACAAAAACTGCCTCCTGTATAAAGTATAATCTGCACTGTTCCTGCTGCACACCTTCCTATACCCCCACCCCCACCTATCCACAAACTGCCTCCTGTATAAAGTATAATCTGCACTGTTCCTGCTGCACACCTTCCTATACCCCCACCCCCACACCTATCCACAAACTGCCTCCTGTATAAAGTATAATCTGCACTGTTCCTGCTGCACACCTTCCTGTACTCCCCCACCCCACCTATCCACAAACTGCCTCCTGTATAAAGTATAATCTGCACTGTTCCTGCTGCATGCCTTCCTATACTCCCTCACCCCCACCTATCCACAAACTACCTCCTGTATAAAGTATAATCTGCACTGTTCCTGCTGCATGCCTTCCTATACCCCCACCCCCACCTATCCACAAACTACCTCCTGTATAAAGTATAATCTGCACTGTTCCTGCTGCACGCCTTCCTATACCCCCACCCCCACCTATCCACAAACTGCCTCCTGTATAAAGTATAATCTGCACTGTTCCTGCTGCATGCCTTCCTATACCCCCCACCCCCCATCCTATCCACAAAACTGCCTCCTCCTGTATAAAGTATAATCTGTGTATCCCCCTCCTGTCCACTGTTCCTGCTGCACACCTTCCTATACCCCCACCCCCACCTATCCACAAACTGCCTCCTGTATAAAGTATAATCTGCACTGTTCCTGCTGCACACCTTCCTATACTCCCCCCCCACCTATCCACAAACTGCCTCCTGTATAAAGTATAATCTGCACTGTTCCTGCTGCACCCTTCCTATACCCCCCACCCCCACCTATCCACAAACTGCCTCCTGTATAAAGTATAATCTGCACTGTTCCTGCTGCACACCTTCCTATACCCCCCACCCCACCTATCCACAAACTGCCTCCTGTATAAAGTATAATCTGCACTGTTCCTGCTGCACACCTTCCTATACCCCCCACCCCCACCTATCCACAAACTGCCTCCTGTATAAAGTATAATCTGCACTGTTCCTGCTGCACACCTTCCTATACCCCCACCCCCACCTATCCACAAACTGCCTCCTGTATAAAGTATAATCTGCCTGTTCCTCCTGCACACCTTCCTATACCCCCACCCCCACCTATCCACAAACTGCCTCCTGTATAAAGTATAATCTGCACTGTTCCTGCTGCACACCTTCCTATACCCCCACCCCCCACCTATCCACAAACTGCCTCCTGTATAAGTATAATATAATCTGCAATGTTCCTGCTGCACCCCTTCCTATCCACCCCCACCCCCCTGTATAATAATCCCCCACCTGTCAACAACCTACCTCCTGTATAAAGTATAATCTGCACTGTTCCTGCTGCACACCTTCCTGTACCCCCACCCCCACCTGTCAACAAACTACCTCCTGTATAAAGTATAATCTGCACTGTTCCTGCTGCACACCTATCCTGTACCCCCACCCCCACCCATCCACAAACTGCCTCCTGTATAAAGTATAATCTGCACTGTTCCTGCTGCACACCTTCCTGTACCCCCACCCCCCACCTATCCACAAACTGCCTCCTGTATAAAGTATAATCTGCACTGTTCCTGCTGCACACCCTTCCTGTTACACACACACACACACACACACACAAACACACACACCCACCTATGAACAAACTGCCTCCTGTTGAAGTATAATCTGCACTGTTCCTGCTGCATGCCCTCCTATATCCCTACCTACCATAAACAACCTACAGTGAAACCTGTCTAAACCGGCACCCAACGGGACCGAAATAAAATGCCAGTTTAGACAGGGTGCGGGGTTAGACAGTGACAATCATTTCAATATGTCTGCCTGCCATTTTGATATTTAACTGCAAGTTCTTTTTGAGAGGGCCGAGGAAGAGGATCAAAGTCGTTGATAAGCTGAATTTTTGTAACAAGTGTTAACTCCAGCTTAGGTCTAGCCTTCAGGACACACAAAATGACTGAGCAGCCAATAAAACCAATCCCTATTTATTTACTCTCTGACACATGTCACTCACTTAAACAGTTAATGCAATCCCCCAGTGTTTATAAAGCATAACCACGGTAATCATACGAGCGTTTGATTCACCGTGCAATCACTACTTCCTGATTATCTAGCGTGCCAAGAGGATTAATTAATGTATTGGATTATGGGTCCTTGATTGGACTGCTCATACCCATGCCGGTTTAGACAGTGTTAATTACAGTTAAAATTGCTTGTTGGACGGGAAAGTCGTGCTGGAATACAAATAAACAGGTGACGGATTAGACAATGTTTTAATTATCCTAATATCGTTGTAAAATGATGGGACCAAAACTTTATGCCGGTTTGGACAGTGTGCCGGATTAGACAGGTGCCTGTGTTGGCAGGTTTCACTGTACTATATAAACTATAGTCAGTCATGATTCTGCTACGCACCTTCCTATATCCCCACCTATATCCCCCACCTATACTCCCCCACCTATAACCCCCACCTACCCACAAACAACCTTCTATATGAACGTCCTTCTGCACACCCTTCTCCCTATAGGAAATATGGGCTTGCAATGGCCCTGCCTCCTTGGTCCTTCTGATACCTTTCATGCTGAAGAGTCACTGTTCTTTGCCCTGCCAGTAAAACGTTAATCCTTTTTGAACACAAACCTAAACTTTGAAATACTTGCATGTGACTCCCTTGTAAGCTAAAAAATCAGCATGTAGATGAAAGATTAGCTTGTCGATCCCACACTCGTAACTCCCAAAACACTTGCTTGTAACTCATTGCTTGTTGCTGGGAACACTGGCATGTAGCTTTCAAGTCATTCGCTTGTAGCTTTCAGAACTCTGGCTTGTAGATCTTGGAATATTGATTAATTGACCTTAGACAATTGGTAAATTAACAATGTTAATATTTGTTTGTATGATGAAGTGGGTTATATATGTCTATGATACCTTGTGAGGATGAGGCTGTGTGATAACTCGCTGCGCCGACCAGGCTGCATGAGTTGAATACTCCCCAAGGAGTTGAGATGGTTAAAAGAATACCAGAAAAAAAAAGACATCCGTTGATCAAGGGAATACTCAAGAGCCTTGAGCGTGTACTAGTTGCGTGGATATGTGCGTTATATAAATATCCTATCATCATCTAACAGTTTATTAAAGCATTTATCCTTGACATGAGCTCATGTATGTCATACTCCAATGACCTAAGTATGCAAATTAAATATGCAAATTAGATCACAAGAATAAGCTAAATAATCAGTGAAATTATACCAGAGATATAACCAAATGACAGAATCGTTATTAAAGGTTCATTGTTACCTTGCAACTCTTTTCAAAGATTTTAAAAAATAATTCGAGAAACCATTTTTTTTCTTTTTTGAATATACCCAAAATGAGTTAACAGGTTGTTTTGGGGTTTACATGGCAATGGAAATGTGTCACTATGCACAATATTTGTATATTATGTCAACAAGTGTCTGATGATAATTTTGATACATTTATTTCTTAAAGCCAGACCAATATTATTTCTTGTTTACGGATCTGCCGATCGTTTTTTTCAAGAATAAGAAAAAATAACAACTCATTTTCCCCGCTCAAAAAATAAAATCCTCATGTTTTTATTGGCCAAAAATGTAAACTTACAAAAAGGTATTTTTTAGATTGTTTTTTCCTCCATATACACTTCATAAATTGCCAAAAATAAAATACTTTATGTTTAAAAGGAATATTACTTTGACTGGTGATTTATATTTTATATTTTTTCTCCTCCTGCCTTTAGGTTTTCTGAGGACAAAAATCTGTAAAACAAGAAATAAAATTGGTCTGGCCTAAAAGGGAAATAGTGAATAAATAGATAAATGGAATTCATCACTCATTCTGTTTAATTCTGAAATTTACAACCCTGTCCCATTAATTGTATTTGACTCTGCAAAGACTTGGCAAGTACTGATTAACTAATGCTTGGTTGATATTTCCCATATCAAAAATTACTGGTGATGAATCCTCTGTATAACGTTTCAATAATCAGATTGTGCGAAATCAAGGTATTACAGTGTCACCCCTTGTGGTCAGGCTCGCTGACTTGGTTGACACATGCCATTGTATCCCAATTGCGTAGAATGACCCTCATGCTGTTGATCACTGGATTGTCTGGTCCAGACTGGATTATTTACAGATTGCCGCCATATAGCTGGAATATTGCTGAGTGCAGCATAAAAGGAAATTCACTCACTCACTCACTTAATATCAGTATGTGTCTCACAATACAGGCTATGCAAACACAGACATAAGAATTCTGCATTTCTATTTAAGATCATTTTTTATGCTTGTGTATTTGCCAGTGCACCTGCTAAATGGATGTTGTGTACATATGCACAGACACTTGTTGTTTTAGGGTCAGATTAATAATAATCATCATCATCATCATCATCATCATCATCATCATCATCATCATCATCATCCCATCATCATCACTGTCATCGTCCCATTATATAGTATGCTATAATACCACACCAAATAGAGGCATGCTTAATGCACTACACTATTCTTACCCTGGTTCTGGTGTCCCCCCACCTCTCCCTCACTCACTTCTTACCCAGGTCAATCTGCACTCGATCTCATTCTCAGCTCCTTAGGGAGTATACAACCCAAGCTGCTTCTGTGGCTGTAGATTCTAGTGAAGCAAAGGTGCCTGGTATCTCACGCTGTAGAAAGTATTAGACTAATCATGAGAATTTGTTAATTCTGGCTCATTGATTCCACGTCTAGACTCTTGACGTAAACAGTGTTATAATAGACTTATTTAAAAATTCATGTTCATAATGTTCAGTAATTCCTGGCTGTGAGTCAACTGATGGTTTAAATCAAGATAACAGTCCTAACCTCTGTCTGTGTAGGTTGCGAGTACAGCTCTGATGTCATCAGCCCTCAGAGCAGCACCAGCAAGGCCGAGGGAGGCACCTGTGACTGTGGTGATGAGTCAGACATCTGCAGTGTGCCCAACATGGACGACTGGCTAGCTCTTAGAGTTCACGGGGGCACACGGTCATGGAGGCTGCCATCTTGTTTTAGTGGTCAGGGCGGAGAGAGCTGAGGTGAACAGGACTGAGCTTGTCCTGCCTTAATGTCGGAGGCGGCCCTTGTAACAAGAGAATCAAAGGGAAGTAACTCTTGTGATTAGTTGGCTGAACTGTGTTTGGTTCTGTGCCTTGTGTTCACGGCACCTTGGGATGCGATGAAGGTTGAAAGCCTTGTGAAAAATGCACTACAACATATGAGCTGAGCCTGGGAACAGTTGTCGCTAGATATCCTGTGATTATTTCACAGCAAAGCTAGACTAGAAGTGGAAGTCATGTTAATCATGTTTAATCACCGGACACTGACCAATGATATCAGGAATCAACAGATGCCAGAAGCATTTAAGTAAAGCACTCAGGAGAAGTCCGAGTTTGAGAAACACAAAAAAGAGAATTGCACTGAAAAACAATCAGATAGTGCTCCAAAGGAAATGGCAATTTGCGAAACTGTGATATGATTTCTTCATCTCACAACATGGGAAAGAATATAAAAGTACAATCTGACATTAAGTTTATTTTAGCCAAGTTCCATAAGTGATGAAGTGACCAGTTCATGACAAGAAAGATGGCAAGCGTTGTGTGAAGGAATGTCTAGTCAAAACTGTGATCATCATTTCCACAGTAACAAATGCCAGGACATATCCTTACAACAGGTGCTTGTTTGTGAAGAAATGCAGGACAAGAGTTATGGCCCCTGGATGTGGCACTGCCTGTGATAAGCTACAACTTGGACTCTGTGATACAATATAATGTTTATTTTCAAACAGAATCAGACCGGGAGAGGGTGTGGGGTTGAACATTTTCACTAGATTTATGACAGTGTTTATAACAAGGTATCAATATGTGTGTTATTTTGCATTAAATCCTATTTACAGTTACGACAATCAAACATTTAACCTCGCTCATTTCTCTGATTTTTCTGAAAAGTTAAGACAAAGTAGGTAGCTGCGATATACAAGATGGGACAGGAATTCTTTCCTTTTGAGGGTTGATCCATATATTATTAAATTAAAAATTTTGATGTGAGAAACTTATGCTGCCTGTGGGATATGTGCTGATTTAGTTCAATGTCTTATAAATGCTTAAGTTGTGATTGTATGTCTGCCTCTGATAAAGCATGTGTGTGAAATATATTTTATGAGAATGTGACTGGTTGAAGATAACAGAAAGTTTAAGCATTTTATGATGAATTCTTCCTGTTGTGAAACATGTCTCCTTTACAGCACAATACCACTCTCCACTGGCAACAATAAACATCATAAATATTATTTTAATCACTGTATCTACTTATGCTAATACACCATTATCACTGTCAGAAGGTTTATGTTTTAGAATTTCTGTAATTTTTGTAATTTATTTATTCTATTTATCATTTATGAATTTTGTATATATTTGATACATTAGATTTCTGAGCTATTTTAACACAGACATGTATTTTGCTCTTTGACTTTTCTTATTCATTAGGTATGAATATGAAATAATGTGCAGTCTGGAAGAGAAGGCGAAGATCTTGATTGAATTTGTGAATATGTTCTCTTTTCAGTCACTTTGAGATATACATCATACTTAATTGAATGTTGAGTGATTAATATATTTTTATCATTTAGTAATTAAGTAGTGGTTGTTTTTGTTGAAAGGAGCTCAAGATCTGTATCCTTCAGGATGGTGAGGTAGCCTAGTGGTTAAAGTGTTTACTCACTATGCTGGAAAACCCAGGTTTGATGCTTACATGAGTTTTATGTGTGAAGTCTCTATTGGTGTTCTCTGCTGTGATATTGCTGGAATATTGCGGAAAGCAGTGTAAACCATATTCATGCACTGCGTAATTTCAACATTGTTGTCTTTTATGACGGCTTGAAGCATATCATGTCAGTTATATTTTACGAGGCCAATTACTCTACACTTTTAGCTATGCACTGTTTGTGTTCATGTTGACATCATGACTTGTATCTCTGTGTTGACTTTGTTGTTCAGTGTTGTTACTTAGAAATCATGTTCTCTCAATCACTGGACCTGCACAAACTGATCCTTAACAAGAACCCCTGTGAGAGATAGGTCATCCTGCAAACATCCTTCTCTGTTCCATACATCAAGTCTTGTCTTTATCTAGATTGACGTTAAACGACAAGGGGAGGTAACTCTAATTGCATTTCAGTGGTAAGACTGAAGATCTGTCCATACATCAAGTCTTTACCTGTTTTGCCACACATGGCAAGGGGAGGTAACTCTAATTACATTTCAGTGGTAAGACTGAAGATCTGTCCATACATCAAGTCTTTACCTGTTTTGCAACACATGGCAAGGGAAGGTAACTCTAATCACATTTCAGTGGTAAGACTGAAGATCTGTTCCATACATAATGTCGGTCTTTTCCTAGATTTCCATTACATGGCAATGGGGAGGTAACTCTAATCACATTTCATTGGTAAGACTGAAGATCTGTTCCATACATCAAGTCTTGTCTTTATCAAGATTGCCATACATCATCATATTACATGGCAAGGGCAGGTGACTCTAATCACATTTCAGTGGTAAGACTGAAGATCTTTCCATGACAAGGCTCTTTATTGGACTAAGGGCACAAATAGAGTGAAAAGGATATGAGGAAGCAGCAGAGAATCATGTGTCTTTAATTTGGTTCTGTGAGTTTAATTTACAAAGTAAACACGGTTTCTGTTGGATTAGGTTGTTGTGTTTTAAACCTGCCCTCATGACCTTATATTGTATTCTGAGTGACAGCATAATATGTGTACCATGTATAAATGTGTGAACCTTGTACCTACCTCAGAAGAACAAACAACAGTATATGATACTCATTAAAGTAGGAAACAATGATTCATCATCTCCAACACCCCATTCTGCAGAACGATCTTAGCTACAACTGTCATAAGCCAATGTTGAAGAATGTGACAAAGATAGTCTAAGAGCTATGATTGTGATGTAAAATGGGACACTAGATGTTGTGCAAGAGCAATCTTAGCCCCATGACTAGTAGAAGGTACCGACCATGTCATATTCTAGGGAGAGCCTGGATTGTTGTTTAAAAGAAAAACCTCATGAATATACCAACAAAAAATATTTTCCCTCATTTTTTAGCCCCCAAAATAAATCATTCAATAGGCATGGTTTGAAAATAATGTGTTGCTGGTTACCCCAAATTGTGTCTTTCCTTCAGAGAATGTTTGTTAACGTTTGGAACTCTGAATGTACTGTTGCTTTGTCTCCAGCAAACATCTTGGACTCACCTGTATATTATATAATTGGAGCCATGTGGATATTTAGGACTGGTAATTGCTTACAGGGATGGGGATTGTTTGAAGTTTTTGATGCACTCATGTACTTTAAAAAATTATATTTATGCATGCCTTCCCCATGATATCTGACATATTTTGTCCTATCCTCATGTTAGTTATTCTACCCAAGAGACTGTCATACTTTTAACACCCCCATCACCACATAATAAATTACCAGTCAGCTGCACAAATGTTAGAGTCTATTTAAATCAAATTTTCATGCCAAGATTGCTTTGTTTAGATTCAGGGTGTTGTTCCACAAAGTTATCAACTGTAGTAGGTCCGTGTTAATCCTATTTCTGGTGTCCCCTGTTGTAATATTACCGGAATATTGCTAAAGCAGCCATACTCACTCACTCTCTATACTAAGATAGGGAGTTCACAAGTATCATAGCGCTAAGGTCACTTTGTGGAATTTTGCCCTGAACTTATACAGTGATTCTCATCTCATCAGAATCATAGTCCACTGTCTTAATGCTAGGATTACCACAAGTAGATATCACTTACTGAATGCATGTTTCCACACTCTTATAAGAATGTGTTGTTGGAATGTCAGAAATTGGAGCAAATTGTTTTGGAATGTAGACAAGTTTAGAAGTGGTGTGTGAGAGATGAATGTAGCTGGATTCCTTCACATCTTGATAACAATATTTTTCATACGTGTAAGTTGTGAAAACTTTACACTGTCTTCTAAATTCCAGCTAGTCCACTATCCCAAGATGACAAAATTTCGCTGAGGACGTGTAGGTAAGTGTCCAATGATTGTAGCCTTCCTTGACTTGTAGCAATCAAGGTCTTTAATTCAGAACTTAATTCAGGCTTCAGTTGTGCTACGAATTGAAACTGAATAAAAACGAAAGAAAATATAACTGTAGAAAACATTTATGTCTTGTTTAAAGAGGGCAAACTCAGTGGACAAGATAACTAAACGAATTTCATCATCTGTTTACAGGGACAGGAAGACAAAAAATCTGATATTTTGGTACAGATTGAATAATGTTGAAAAGCACTAAACATATATTTTTCATCGAAGTTTCAGTCTGGTATGTCAGCTGATGGGAAATATTTTAAGGGGGGAAATGATGTGAAATGAACCAGCTTCATGTTTTCACTGTAGCAACTGTCATTGTCAAAATCTTTTTAAACCAGTGTTCAGGTTGTGTGGGGATTATCTCCCCTTACTAAAATGGCCACAGTTTGCACGAGATAAAGAGTGAAGTTGTGTTTTACTGATGAATTTTTTGTGGTCTGTCAGTTATGATTAGATCCCAAAGACACAACTCCTGAATTGTGTGTCTTTAAACAGGAATTGTCTAGAAAGTGTTACTACTAGTCTCTGAAAGAAACTCGGATCACCATTAAAGTGTGCACTGCATGATGACATTTTGTGGAAATATTATTTTCAATTGTTAAGTGTAAATTAAATGTGTTGAATTTTCCATCCTGAATATATTTACTGAACAAGATGTACTTATCAACTTTTCTGTATTTGTTTGTTATGTGAAATGTCATTTTGTAGTGGTTTTGCATAATATTGATAACATTAGCTTTTTCAAGAATGTGGTTTTTTTTATTCTTTGTCTTTGTCACAGAATTTGTATTTTTGTCTTGAGTAATATTTTTAAGTGGTACATTTTATGATGTACATTGAAGCTAGCATTGTCTTGGTTCTCTGGCATAGAGGAACATTCTTGAAAAGAAATTTTCATGTGTGTGATTCAGAATCAAATGATTAGATTTGTCAACTATATATCCAGTTTTCTAATTGTAAAAACAATGCATCAATCTTGAAAAGCATTTGCCGGAGAACCAATGAGAATTATGTTTGAGTTTTGACAAATATTGTATGAAGCTGCTTGAAAGGCATGGCATAATTATTTCATTTATGAAATGGAGCTGAAATCAAATTGGGTTTTTTTATGGAAGAGTTACAGCTGATGTATTTGGACATCCTCACTCATCTGTATGTATTCAGTGCTATTAAATCTCCATTCTTTCATCATAAATACCCTTCACCTGTTTTCGTCAATGCAGGGATGGCAATTTTCCGCTGATCCACGGATTTCTGCCAATTATATTTCAAATTGATCAATTTTAACTCCCCATTTGTTAACACAATATTAAGTTTTCAGCTGAAAATAGATTTTCCTGTTGCCATCCCTGTCAATGACTTTGTTTCAGAAGTTACATCATTATCTATATAAGTTTTCCATTTAGGCTAAGACCCGTGAAGATCCAGATTAGAATTGATCGTCACTAACCCATGCTTGTCGTAAGAGACGACTAACAGGAATGAGTGGTCAGACTCGCTGACTTGGTTGACATGTCATTGTATGCCAATCACTTATATTGATGCTCATGATGTTGATCACTGGATTGTCTGGGCCAGACTCAATTATATACTGACCACCTCCATATAGCTTGAATATTGCTGAGTGTGGCGTGAAATTAAGCTCACTCACTCACTCACCCATTTAGGCTAAAAATAAAATAGAATGGACATTTAATTCACTTGATACTGAAGTGTATGGAATGAGTTGTTCATTTCTCTCATGCATAATTTTATACAGAATTGCAAAAATAAGCAATGAAAGGGGTGAGATAAATCTTTTCTTTACAATGTACCCATGTAAACTTGAGTAGAATCCCGATTTATCATGTAGCTTTCTGTGTTTTGAACATATTGTCAGAATATTTCAAATAGTGTCCGACTTTATTGATGTGATATTTTTATAAGTAGAAATTATTTTGTAGACTGCTGTTGACTATTAATTAATGTTGTTATGTTTATGATGATATTGAACCACACCCTGGATAGGTGAGGACTTTGCTGGGTCACATGGCAACTGCAACCATGGCAACAGAAACCGTGGCAACCACTGTGTTCTGAAATAGACAGAGGATGTGCATGAATTTCTTTGAAAAGCATCACTAGAACACTAAGTTGGCATATATTATTTCAGGAATATCTTTTTTCTCTGCTAACCATGTTCGTAGCAAGTTTCAATTATAAATAGCTTAAAGAGTGCAGTTGAATAGTTTTGTGTTGGATGCGAAATGTTCTGCATTGGAGTTCAACAGGGGGCATTATTTCTGTCTTTTCATTTGATTTATAGTTCACAACATAGCAGCTCTTAGCTAACAGTGTAGTTCAAAAGTTTTGTTGTTGATACAAAATGTTCTACATAGCAGCTCTTATTACCATATGTTTGCTCAGAAATTATCTGACTATCTTTGGTATAAATATATTTGAGTGAAAATTCTGCTTCTGATGTACCAGTGATTTGAATCCCTGCAAGATCAGATTCTCTGTACCAGATTATTTTCAATGTTTTCTCTTGATTTTAAGTTTTTGAAGTTTTTCTCTTTTAGTGGGATGGGGTGGGCTTCCAAAGGGAACTGATGTTGAAGTGAGGTATATCTCTTCCTAAGGTCCTGTATGGGTCAGATAGGCAGTGACATCACTGATTGTTGTCCATGCCTTCAACTCTAGGATTGTCTTTCACATACAGGCCAACTTGACATAGCCTAATATTGCTGACTTTGGTTTTGTGCATCTTTCACTCTCTTGTGTAAAGGTTCATGAATATGTTTCTACTTGAACTTGGACTTGAATGTTCTGTGTGCTTGAAGTATTACAGACACTGTATAGATAAATTGAGTGAAGCTGTCTAGGTTGCTACTGTTCAAGTGACCCACTTCAGTTCTCAGATCCAGATTTTGTTACTGAGGCCCTCCTGCAAGCTGGTGGCACACCCCTCAGCATGTACATGCAAAAAGCCCACCCAAACACTATCAAGCCCACCCAACACCATTCAACCCATCCCATTACCATTCAACCCACCTCAACACCATCCAGCCCACCCCAACACCATCCACCCCATACCAACACCATCCAGCCCACCCAATACCATTCAGCCCACCCAAACACCATTCAGCCCACCCCAACACCATTCAACCCACCCCAACACCATCCAGCCCACACCAACACCACCATTCAGCCCACACCAGCACCATCCAGCCCACACAATACCATTCAACCCACCCCAACACCATTCAACTGACCCAACACCATTCAACCCATCCCATTACCATTCAACCCACCCCAACACCATCCAGCCCACACCAACACCATTCAGCCCACACCAACACCATCCAGCCCACACAATACCATTCAACCCACCCCAACACCATTCTGCCCACCCCAACACCATTCAACCCACCCCAACACCATTCAGCCCACACCAACACCATTCAACCCACCCCCAACACCATTCAGCCCACCCCAACACCATCCAGCCAACACCAACACCATCCAGCAAATCATACACAAACCAGCCCACCCAACAAATCCCTGCACCAAGCATTAATGAATCAGTTTCTTTGATGAAAGAAAGGGCTACATTTCAAAGTGGTATTAAAAAACTTATATGTTTACTCAAAGGTCACCTTTAAGCAAAGAAAGAAGAGTGTTGTCTTTACCTTCCCAATTGTCTCTATCCAGTCCAAGTTGAACAGGACTCCTGTTCCTGGCCTCCTTATCCGAAGACAAAGACACACATGAACATCAAGCAAGCTCTATCAATATGCACACCATCCAGACGGTCCTCACTCTGTTCTACAAGGTGCCTAGAGTTCTGCAATCCCACAACACTATCTCACATAAACATCAAGCAAGCGCCATCAGTACGTACACCTTCCAAACTGTCCCCACTCTGTTGTACAAGATGTCTCTGGCTTTTCTGTCCGACAACACTAACACACATGAACTTTAAGCAAGTTCCATCTTCACACACACACCTTCCAAACTGTCCTTAATTACTTGTACAAGTTGTTTAGAGCTCCCCATTCCAACAACAGAGACATGAACTTAAGCAGCTCCACACCTTCCAAATTGTCACCACTCAGTGTATAACATGTCATTGGTTTTCCTACCCCACAACACAAACACACCTGGCTAGCTATTCTCGAAACGTTCGTAGCCCTAGGAACTTCTTAAGCCCATTCTTAACACATTGGCTACTATTAAAGTTAAGAATTCTCAGGGCTACGAACGTTTCGAGGGCCCAGGGTCCCGATCCACAAAGCGTTCGTAAGGTTACGACCTGTCGTAACTCTATAGTTTATCATAGGCTTACGAATGTCGTAGCGCTACGAACGTTTAGTGGATCGGGACCCAGGATACAAAGTTCACTCAATCTCTCTGCCTTCACCCACTTGTGCAAGATGTATCTGCCTTCACTGTCCAACAACACAAACATACACGAGCCTCAAGCAAGTTCTATCTTTACACACACCTTCCAAAATTCCTCTCTCATTTGTGCAAGATGTCCTCAATTTCCTCCTGCCCCCAAACCTCCACCTGGTGAATGAGGTGTGCCTCCAGCAGCCGTGAGGAGCTGGTTGAATGACGAACCACAACCTTCTAGTCAGTGTTGTTAGTCTTCACTCAATCCGTGCCATACCAACACAGTACCCTCCATGTTCCATTGCCAACACAACAGTTGATCATCGTGTGAATGTGGCAGATACGTGGCTACTTTGTGATACTTGTAGTGCTTTATCTTGTAGGGCAGTTGTAATATCCTCTTCGTAGACTGACCTTGTTGTCTAGGTTTTATACAATGTATATATACTTCTATTCACATAACAGTGGGATTGTTAACATTCACCATCTTCATTCTTGGACATTTATTGTTTGTATCTTGTTCATGAATTTAAACAAAAAATCATTTTGTCTCCTACACTTGATTTTGTTTTCCTTTACGATGCTGGGATCTCAGCAACTCTCTGAAGAGATGAGACCGCCTCCGTGGTGTAGTGGTTAGAGCGTCCGCCCGGAGAGCGGAAGGTCGCGGGTTCAATCCCCGACCGCGTCATACCTACAGACGTTAACATATGGTACTTGTTGGTCCCTGCCTGGCGCTCGGAATTAATGGGTACAACAAGGACTGGTCGGCTCGGAGTCAGTATATTGTGTCTCAGTGGGGTTTTCATGCTTCACTGCGGCATGGTATCTCAGTGGGCTAGCACTATAAAACCAGCTTCAGTCTGGGCTAGTACAAGCAGCCGCACATACACATACACAAGCATGCACGTCGTCATATGAACGAAATATTCTCAAGCACGACGTTAAACCCAATTCCACCACCACCATCTGAAGAGATGAAAATAGTTAATGCGGAGGGTCACACCGTGCTCAGTTGCTGAGTCACAGACCTCATTGTGTGTTTATTTACATGTTTTTAACACTGTTCTCAGCTATATGATGTCAATCTGTAAGTAATGGAGTCTGGACCAGACTATCCACTGACTAACATCATGATCATGGAACTTCGCAGTTAAGATGAGATGTGTGTACATAGTCACTGAGCCTTACCGCCGCACCCCATAAGTCACCTCTTACAACACCATGGGTTGATGAAGATCAGTTCAAACTCAGATCTAAACGTATTTCATAGATACCTTGGTGATGATGGTTTGTGTGACATTTCAAAGTGACTGACCTTTGAATGTTCTATATGTGTGTGTGCGTACGTGCGTGTGTGTGTATATATGTCTGGGTGTTTGTGTGTCCTGTCATATAGCTGCACCAAACAAACTTCTTAATTATAATGGGGCGGTAGGATAGCCTCGTTGTTAAAGCGTTCGTTCATCACATCGAAGACCTGGGTTCGATTCCTCACAATGGGTAAAATGTGTGAGGCCCATTCCTGTTGTCCCCTGCGGTGATATTGCTGGAATATTGCTAAAACTGCATAAAACTAAACCCACTCACTCACTGCTATTTTGACTTAAGTATATTATCTGTTGCTGAAAAAGGCTGCAGTACTAAAAGAATCCCCGCTATCACTCCGGGTTCCCTTACTGGGGCGGTGGGGTAGCCTAGTGGTTAAAGCGTTGGCTCGTCACGCGGAAGACCCGGGTTCGAATCCCCACATGGGTACAATGTGTGAAGCCCATTTCTGGTGTCCCCCGCCGTGATGTTGCTGGAATATTGCTAAAAGCGGCGTAAAACCAAACTCAGTCAGTCAGTGCTTCCCTTACAATCAAGGCATTCACGATAAGCACTCCACAAATAATCAGCACAATGGAAAACGACATTCTGATTACTTCCCAAAAGCATATACAAAGACGATGTCATAGGAAGTACTGTTTATTCATGAAAAACTGAAATGTTCACCCCAGGATGTATCCATGCTCCTGTGTCCTCTCCCCATGGATGATGTTTGGATATTCGCATCTGATCAGTGGACAGCATGCTCCGATCTTCAGTACAAAGTAGCAGTGTTTAGGGACTTCGCGGACACACCTGCAGATAATACGGGATGGAGGTGCTGAGATTAGGTGAAGAGATGGGTCTGGCTTCATGTACTAGTCTTGATTTATGAGATACCATGGGTATATTATGCTTACAGTTCTCTTTTGTATGAGGCGGTGCAAGCACCACCTCTTTTAGTATGACGCGAGCGGCCAACTGATCGGTCAAAGAAAAACGCAGAGGAACCAAGATACATTTCGATATGGAAGGTATATAAAGATGGAGCATCGGTTGACCAAATGGATGAAATCGTAGGTGAATATATGGAAATTCAAAAATGTTGATAAAGAAGTAATTTCCATGTAGACCAGAAACCTTTCGATTTACCCTTACATATTCCTGGTAATGTAATCCAAGTAATACCCACGAGCATCAACCATCACCTGCCCTAATAATAATAAATATTAATATTTATAATACCTTAAGAGAGAGAGAGATTGCTGGAATATTGCTAAAGGCGGCATGAAACCTCACTCACTGCTGACCAATCCTCTGGATGTCCAACAGGTAAATGTGAACTCTCTTTGGTACATACCTCAATGGCCGGGACGTGATGTTATTTGACGCAGCGTCGACACACTGGTAGGTGTTCACACAGTCGAGGGAGTCCCATCCGTCGCCTTCACGATGAAACACCCCGTCCTGGGTGCAACCTGTGACCAATGAATTTAAAGACTGTCACCCTGTCTGAAAATACAGGCTTTAACACGGTCTTGAAGAACTGGTTGTCATCCCGATAGACGTGACTAAGTGTGCAGCTCTTGTCACCTCCAATGCAGACTTGACCAGGATTCACAAGTGATTTTGTTTGTTGTTTAACGCTGCACTCAGCAATATTCCAACTATATGACGGCGGTCTGTAAATAATCGAGGCTGGACGAGACAATCCAGTGATCAACAGCATGAGCATCGATCTACGCGATTTGGATAGACGACATGTGTCAACCAAGTCAGTAAGCCTGACCACCCGATCCCGTTAGTCGCCTCTTACGTCAAGTATTGGTTGCTGAAGTAGGTAATGATCAAGAAGAACAGGAAACACAATGTGTATTTACTTCATTCAAAGACAGACCGCCTCCGTGGTGTAGTGGTTAGAGCGTCCGCCCGGAGAGCGGAAGGTCGCGGGTTCGATCCCCGACCGCGTCATACCAAAAGACGTTAAAATATGGTACTTGTTGGTCCCTGCCTGGCGCTCGGCATTAATGGGTACAACAAGGACTGGTCGGCTCGGAGTCAGTATAATGTGTCTGAGTGGGGTATTCATGCTTCACTGCGCCATGGTATCTCAGTGGGCTAGCACTATAAACCCAGCTTAAGTCTGGGCTAGTACAAGCAGCCGCACATACACATACACACGCATGCACGTCGTCATATGAGCGAAATATTCTCAAGCACGACGTAAAACCCAATTTCACCTCACCTCACCTCATTCAAAGACAAAATATGTGTAAGATTATTTTCAAGCAAGAAATGACAACACTCACTGTTTTCCTTTTAAGTAACACGGCGAGACTTCTACATGGAATTTTGTATCTAAGACTGACAGGTCATATTCGAGAACAAGGGCCCGAAGACTCAATTCAATAATTATAGTGACCTTGATTTCTTAAAAACTACTACCTGTCAAAATCATGTGAAACCTGGATTTGACCAAGCACTTACAAGAGTTATCAAAACGTGGAGGTGTGTGGTCCTGTGTATAGAGCTCAGGTAACAAATCAGTTGACGTTAAGCATCGTTGGGCACGGAGAGTCCTTGGATGGGTGACTGTGTTTGGCAGTTTGACTCCTGCGAGTCTCTAGGACTTCAGTCCTGCCCCACAACGAAGCACATGTGATACATGTGGTCTCACGTTACGCAAGTGAGTTTGTTCAAAATTGCCTGTGTTCACCCAGCAGAAAATGGGTACCCGGTGAAATAAGTCGTGAGACCATTAACCTTCTAGCGCCTAACAGGCAGCTTGGGTTATCCTGGGTAATAATGATACTATTGTGCGCCTTGAGCAGGATGTCTATCCTGGAAAAGACGCGTTGTAAATATTCTCATTATTATTATTATAGGCTGAAAACAATCGTCGAAGCAGGGCCAACTGAAGGACAACACAAAGGAAAACACAAGTGTGATATACTCATGCCAATAATGGTTGTCACCCCCTTCAATTTTTATAATTGGAGAGGGGGTGTGGGGTGGTTGTGTGTGGGGAGGGGGGTGACAACCATTATTGACATGAGTATATTTTAAACCATTATACACAGCCACAGGAACATCTAGGTAGTTGATTGAATGGTCTACCCACCTCTCTCCACGACCACAGACGTACTCACTGGAATATAAAGGAATATATTCTCAATGACATTCGACTATTACAACAAATAATGCTCTAGATTCTGTCCAACTGTTCTCCGTCGTTATCTGACAGTGGTACAATGCACAATGTTTTGGTATTGCAGAGTACAGACGGTATTCCCCCTTAAGTGTCTACTGGGTTATGGCCTAATCCGTCGAATTTTGAACAGTCAGTAGTGCCGATCCGTCGAATCATGCTTGAGTGGTTCTGTGCTAATCGGTCGAATTTCAGACCGTGTTATCACACTGGGAGAGTCTAAGTTAATTAATTAAGGGGTCGGCTTGTATTGGATTAGACTACATGTTTTCTTAAATAGTTTCGCTTCCACTTTGTGCCAAGCTTAGTTTCAGCAAACTTATTTGTCCATTTGACAATATCGTCAACAATTTCAGGACAGACATTTTGGATTTTGATTGGTGACTTTTCCATTCAGATGGCGAATAATATTTCTCTGAGGCGTTCGAGCTAATGGCATTGGGTCCTTGAACCACCGTCCTCCATCACGGCTGTAATACCTGCCAGGAGCTTGTCTTTGTACATCAGTCTCATTGTCAGAGTTGGAAGTAGCGTCATCCTGTTCACAATATTTAAAGCCTTGGGGCTCCATAAGACAAGGGTTAATGCATCAATTTCAATTTTCTACAAAATTACAAAAATAAAGAGAGTCCAAACATATATTTATTGCATCAATTGCTCATTGTATCATATGAGTAGGCAAAGATAAGTAAAAAAGTACAAAAAATAAAGAGTCAAACCTTCCTATACCCTTTGCGTCTTTTTCTTGGCGTGATCCAATGTTTTGATAACTAATTAATAGCTAAGTTCACAGTGCTCATCCGACGAATGCATTTTACTACTTTGAAATCAGAAATTCGACGGATCGGTACGCGACCGTCTACTGTACCACGATTTACGATACTGGGCTGGAACAGTCTCCATTTTATTATAGTGAGTGAGTGATTTTAGTTTTATGCCGCTTTTTGCAATATTCCAGCAATATCACAGCGGGGGACACCAGAAATGGGTTCCACACATTGTACCCATGTGGGGCATCGAACCCGGGTCTTCGACGTGACGAGCGACCGCTTTAACCACTAGGATACCCCACCGCCCCGACATTTATCATAATTAGATATGAAAAGAATATAACTCTACCTTAAGCAATGAAACAAAATCAAGCAGCAATACTAAATACACGGATGGCTTGAAACATTAAATATTTTGTTGATGTATTTAGGAAGAGAGACGGATCCCAGTCAGCATGTTTTACCTACCGGGAGTTGTGGTGGTGTTTGCGTCAACTGCACAGGGTGGAGTGTACTCGGGCACTGGAAGCAGAACATAAGGTAACAATCATGTATGTATCAACGGGCAAGTAACGTAGTTCTTAGGCTTTATATTAGACTAACATTTTGTGCCAGAAAAAAGGTTTATAAAAATATAATATCTACAAAAGAATATAATAAACAAACTCAAAAACAATCAATATTGATTTCAGGCAAGGCAATCTAGAGTTGAACCCATTAATTAAGGGAACATCTACCAAGGGGACATCTTCCAAGGACACACCTACCAGATGCACTTACATACCAATGAAACATCTACCAAGTTAATGAGTGGGTTTGATTCTTTAAAAAGTCAGCTAGCCTTCTCATCGCTCTGCTACTGCTTCAAAGGGAAGACTGTCGAGAGTGCCGTGCAACTCCACCATTTTACTTGTTTTATGTACAGGTTGCGACGTGCTATACTAACCAAGGCAGATTTTACAGAAACCAGCACATTCGGTGACGGCGAAGTGGCTGTAGATGGGGTTGGTGCAGAGGTCCTTGTTGTACTGGCTGCAGATGGGGCTGTTGTCAGTGCACATGCGTGGTGTGGTGTTCTTCGGTTCTGGAAATTATTAGGCATTGCTATGTACCCAGTCCTTGTCTCAAACCCAGTGTCTTGACGCACCTGTATGTTCGCTTCTTCTGGAATTATAGACACTGATATACCCAGTCCTTGTCCCAAACCCAGTGTCTTGGCGTACCTGTATGTTCGCTTCTGGAAATTATAGACACTGATAAACCCATGCCATGTCCCAAACCCAGTGTCTTGGTGCACCTGTATGTTCGCTTCTGGGAATTATAGACACTGATATACCCAGTCCTTGTCCCAAACCCAGTGTCTTGGCGTACCTGTATGTTCGTTTCTGGAAATTATAGACACTGATATACCCAGGCCATGTCCCAAACCCAATGTCTTGGCGTACCTGTATGTTCGTTTCTGGAAATAATAGACACTGATATACCCAGGCCATGTCCCAAACCCAGTGTCTTGGCGTACCTGTATGTTCGTTTCTGGAAATTATAGACACTGATATACCCAAATTATCCCAAACCCAGTGTCTTGGCGCACCTGTATGTTCGCTTCCCATTGGCCCTGGCCATGTCCCAAACCCAGTGTCTTGGCGCACCTGTATGTTCGCTTCTGGAAATTATAGAGATTGATATGTACCCTGGCCATGTCCCAAACCCAGTGTCTTGGCGTACCTGTATGTTCGCTTCTGGAAATTATAGAGATTGATATGTACCCTGGCCATGTCCCAAACCCAGTGTCTTGGCGCACCTGTACGTTCGCTTCTGGAAATTATAGACATTGATATGTACCCTGGCCATGTCCCAAACCCAGTGTCTTGGCGTACCTGTATGTTCGCTTCTGGAAATTATAGACACTGATATACCCAGGCCATGTCCCAAACCCAGTGTCTTGGCGTACCTGTATGTTCGCTTCTGGAAATTATAGACACTGATATACCCAGGCCATGTCCCAAACCCAGTGTCTTGGCGTACCTGTGAGCATCTGTTTAGTCATGAATACTCCAAGGTATAATCAATATAATTCCGGATCATCAATATCATCAATACTTCATCTGCCTATCAATCCATACCTTTTTACCTAGCTAATATACATGTGTGTACTCGTCAATACTTTGTGTCCCAGACATATATGAGAGTACTCGTCAATAATGTGTCTATTCATCAAAACCTGATATCCTTGTTTTACTTGCCATTTCTCCGAAGAAATCATTACACAGATGCAAACAACCTGGAACCACTCCCAGTAGTTGCCGATAGGCCCTCAACCACATACTGCACCTGCCTACTACGATAGTCCCTCAACCACATACTGCACCTACAACTATGATAGTCCCTCAACAACATACTGCACCTGCCTACTCCGATACTCCCTCAACCACATACTGCACCTGCCTACTCGGATAGTCCCTCAACCGCATACTGCACCTGCCTACTCCTATAGTCCCTCAACCACATACTGCACCTGCCTACTATGATAGTCCCTCAACCACATACTGCACCTGCCTACTCCGATAGTCCCTCAACCACATACTGCAGCTTCCTACTATGATAGTCCCTCAACCACATACTGCACCTGCCTACTATGATAGTCCCTCAACCACATACTGCACCTGCCTACTCCGATAGTCCCTCAACCACATACTGCAGCTTCCCTCGATACTCAACAACATACTGCACCTGCCTACTATGATAGTCCCTCAACCACATACTGCACCTGCCTACTATGATAGTCCCTCAACCACATACTGCACCTGCCTACTATGATAGTCCCTCAACCACATACTGCACCTGCCTACTATGATAGTCCCTCAACCACATACTGCACCTGCCTACTATGATAGTCCCTCAACTACATACTGCACCTGCCTACTATGATAGTCCCTCAACCACATACTGCACCTGCCTACTACTATGATAGTCCCTCAACCACATACTGCACCTGCCTACTATGATAGTCCCTCAACCACATACTGCACCTGCCTACTATGATAGTCCCTCAACTACATACTGCACCTGCCTACTATGATAGTCCCTCAACCACATACTGCACCTGCCTACTCCGATAGTCCATCAACCACATACTGCACCTGCCTACTATGATAGTCCCTCAATCACATACTGCACTTGCCTACTATGATAGTCCCTCAACCACATACTGCACTTGCCTACTATGATAGTCCCTCAACCACATACTGCACTTGCCTACTATTATGGTAGTCCCTCAACCACATACTTCCCCTGCCTACTATGATAGTCCCTCAACCACATACTGCACTTGCCTACTATGATAGTCCCTCAACCACACACTGCACCTACTACTATGATAGTCCCCCAACCACATACTTCCCCTGCCTACTCCGAAAGTCCCTCAACCACATACTGCACCTGCCTACTATGATAGTCCCTCAACCACATACTGCACCTGCCAACTCCGATAGTCCCTCAACCACATACTGCACCTGCTCTACTATGATAGTCCTCAACCACATACTGCACCTGCCTACTATGATAGTCCCTCAACCACATACTGCACCTGCCTACTATGATAGTCCTCAACCACATACTGCACCTGCCTACTATGATAGTCCTCAACCACATACTGCACCTGCCAACTCCGATAGTCCCTCAACCACATACTGCACCTGCCTACTATGATAGTCCCTCAACCACATACTGCACCTGCCTACTATGATAGTCCCTCAACCACATACTGCACCTGCCAACTCCGATAGTCCCTCAACCACATACTGCACCTGCCTACTATGATAGTCCCTCAACCACATACTGCACCTGCTCACTCCGAGTAGTCCTCAACCACATACTGCACTTGCCTACTATGATAGTCCTCAACCACATACTGCACCTGCCTAGCTCCGATAGTCCCTCAACCACATACTGCACCTGCCTACTCCGATAGTCCCTCAACCACATACTGCACCTGCCTACTATGATAGTCCCTCAACCACATACTGCACCTGCCTACTATGATAGTCCCTCAACCACATACTGCACCTGCCTACTACGATAGTCCCTCAACCACATACTGCACCTGCCTACTCCGATAGTCCCTCAACCACATACTGCACCTGCCTACTATGATAGTCCCTCAACCACATACTGCACCTGCCTACTATGATAGTCCTCAACCACATACTGCACTTGCCTACTATGATAGTCCCCTCAACCACATACTGCACCTGCCTACTACGATAGTCCCTCAACCACATACTGCACCTGCCTCCTCTGATAGTCCCTCAACCACATACTGCACCTGCCTACTATGATAGTCCCTCAACCACATACTGCACCTGCCTACTATGATAGTCCCTCAACCACATACTGCACCTGCCTACTATGATAGTCCCTCAACCACATACTGCACCTGCCTACTATGATAGTCCCTCAACCACATACTGCACCTGCCTACTATGATAGTCCCTCAACCACATACTGCACTTGCCTACTATGATAGTCCCTCAACCACATACTGCACCTGCCTACTCCGATAGTCCCTCAACCACATACTGCACCTGCCTACTATGATAGTCCTCAACCACATACTGCACCTGCCTACTATGATAGTCCCTCAACCACATACTGCACTTGCCTACTATGATAGTCCCTCAACCACATACTGCACCTGCCTACTCCGATAGTCCCTCAACCACATACTGCACCTGCCTACTATGATAGTCCCTCAACCACATACTGCACCTGCCTACTATGATAGTCCCTCAACCACATACTGCACTTGCCTACTATGATAGTCCCTCAACCACATACTGCACCTGCCTACTCCGATAGTCCCTCAACCACATACTGCACCTGCCTACTATGATAGTCCCTCAACCACATACTGCACCTGCCTACTATGATAGTCCTCAACCACATACTGCACCTGCCAGCTCCTGATAGTCCCTCAACAACATACTGCACCTGCCTACTATGATAGTCCCTCAACCACATACTGCACCTGCCTACTATGATAGTCCTCAACCACATACTGCACCTGCCTACTATGATAGTCCCTCAACTACATACTGCACCTGCCTACTATGATAGTCCCTCAACCACATACTGCACTTGCCTACTATGATAGTCCCTCAACCACATACTGCACCTGCCAACTCCGATAGTCCCTCAACCACATACTGCACCTGCCTACTATGATAGTCCCTCAACCACATACTGCACCTGCCTACTCCGATAGTCCCTCAACCACATACTGCAGCTTCCTACTCCGATACTCCCTCAACCACATACTGCACCTGCCTACTATGATAGTCCCTCAACCACATACTGCACCTGCCTACTATGATAGTCCCTCAACCACATACTGCACCTGCCTACTCCGATAGTCCCTCAACCACATACTGCAGCTTCCTACTCCGATACTCCCTCAACCACATACTGCACCTGCCTACTATGATAGTCCCTCAACCACATACTGCACCTGCCTACTCTGATAGTCCCTCAACCACATACTGCACCTGCCTACTATGATAGTCCCTCAACCACATACTGCACCTGCCAACCTGATAGTCCCTCAACCACATACTGCACCTGCCTACTATGATAGTCCCTCAACCACATACTGCACCTGCCTACTATGATAGTCCTCAACCACATACTGCACTTGCCTACTATGATAGTCCTCAACCACATACTGCACCTGCCTACTCCGATAGTCCCTCAACCACATACTGCACCTGCCTACTATGATAGTCCCTCAACCACATACTGCACCTGCCTACTATGATAGTCCCTCAACCACATACTGCACTCTGCCTACTATGATAGTCCCTCAACCACATACTGCACCTGCCTACCTGATAGTCCCTCAACCACATACTGCACCTGCCTACTATGATAGTCCTCAACCACATACTGCACCTGCCTACTATGATAGTCCCTCAACCACATACTGCACCTGCCAACTCCGATAGTCCCTCAACCACATACTGCACCTGCCTACTATGATAGTCCCTCAACCACATACTGCACCTGCCTACTATGATAGTCCCTCAACTACATACTGCACCTGCCTACTATGATAGTCCCTCAACCACATACTGCACTTGCCTACTATGATAGTCCCTCAACCACATACTGCACCTGCCAACTCCGATAGTCCCTCAACCACATACTGCACCTGCCTACTATGATAGTCCCTCAACAACATACTGCACCTGCCTACTATGATAGTCCCTCAACCACATACTGCACCTGCCAACTCCGATAGTCCCTCAACCACATACTGCACCTGCCTACTATGATAGTCCCTCAACCACATACTGCACCTGCCTACTCCGATAGTCCCTCAACCACATACTGCACCTGCCTACTATGATAGTCCCATAACCACATACTGCACCTGCCTACTCCGATAGTCCCTCAACCACACACTTCATCTGCCTACTATGATAGTCCCTCAACCACATACTGCACCTGCCTACTATGATAGTCCCTCAACCACATACTGCACCTGCCTACTCACTGCAAAACTTGCAAGTTGCGGCACAGTTCCAGCGGGCCCAGCTCTCGTATGACCCACAGCAGCTGGTGTGGATGTTGTAGCCGCTGCAGTCGAGCCGGTCGTAACAGTCCCCTGAAGAAAGAACGCTCTCTCTATTTCATATCTTACAGTTAGACAATTCTGAAAACCTCACACGACAGATTTAACTACATGTATTCTGAAAGATTTTGTTCATCATGCAAATGTGAACATGTAGAGAATGAATACAAGGGGCATTAGATAGAAAGGCATTGCCAAAATAAATGTACAAAGGCCGTTAAAGCAACAATATTGATACAAGACAAAATTTAGCTACGTACATATACCATGCCTTCAAATTTCGACACTTGAATGCAGGTACGAGAAGCATAAACGAGAAATTGTCATCCGACATCGATATTTATAAATTGAGCCTTTATGATCACAATGTGAACTGTCCGTGTATCCGGTTGAGCTACAGTTCCTTCCAAGGATACCATTTCAATTCAGTTTGAGTTCACCGATCGCTGCTAGCTACAGGAACATCAACAGCTCCTACCTGGGGCGTGCGACGGAGTTGGAGCAGGTGTAGTCGTTGTCGACATCGGGTTTGTAGCTGGGAACAGACAAAAATGAGCGCACCTCTTACGGCTGTGAACTGAACTGGACTTGTATCAACATACAGGTGTTAATGGCTGTGATGGCATACCCTCTGTAGTGTATTTTTATAGTGTTTTAATGTGACCCGTAAAGATCCGGGTTAGAACTGGTCTTCAGCCACCCATTCTTGCCGTAAGGGGCGACTAACGGGATGGGATGGTTTATGGAAACTAGGCGCTATACAAGTCAATTATTATTATTATTATTATTATTATTATTATTATTATTATTATTATTATCATTTAGTTGATGCATGTCATTGTATCTCAGATGTGGGGCGGTGGGGTAGCCTAGTGGTTAAAGCGTTGGCTCGTCAGGCCGAAGACCCGGGTTCGATTCCCCACATGGGCACAATGTGTTAAGCCCATTTCTGGTGTCCCCCGCCGTGATATTGCTGGAATATTGCTAAAAGCGGCGTAAAACCAAACTCAGTCAGTCAGTCAGTATCTCAGATGTGTTGATCGATGCTCATGATGTAAATCACTGGATTGTCAGGTCCACACTGGATTATTTACAGACCGCCGCCATATAGCTGGAGTGAAGTTTAGTTTTACGCCGCACTCACTTGTAAATAATCGAGTCTGGACCAGACAATCCAGTGATCAGCAGTATGAGCATCGATCTACGCAATTGGAATACGATGACATGTGTCAACCAAATCAGCGAGCCCGACAACCCAATCCCTGGAATATTGCTAAATGCGGCGTTAAAGAAAATAAACAAAAACACTTTAACATAACTGGAGGTTTTGGTATTGACAACATAACTGATGGAGATATATGTTGGTGTTTTCAGATGACCAGTGTTTTGACAGGATGGACTGTTGAGGCTACAACAAACAAACAAACAAGGCATACCATCTGTAGTGTTGGACGTGCAGAACCCGCAGTACTTCTTGCAGTAGATGTCGGACCATTCCGGGTAACCCACACACGTTTTTCTCCCGAACTCACCACAGTTTTCAAAATCGTCGTAACAACCTGCATCGTTGGAAAGAGTGATTTAGTGAGAAAGTGGGTGAGGTTTTCCCTGAGTTCTATTCAACAAACAACCAAATTTGTTCAATGGCACGATGTGCATAATCTTCCAACTACGCCAACAGTTGGCCAACGCGAAATCTTGTATTGCATGCTTGCCACTCCATCCGCTCTACACCCAGCTGCCTAAGGAATTCCGTGACAATCCTGGCCCTATGAGGTCTAGCGTTCTCGTCTTGCAGTAAAGAGGGTCGACCATAAAAGCCATGCTTAGCTTGCAGGAATGGTACTGCTATAGGAGCCAGAATTCCGTCCCGGTAACACTGTCCGGGAAGATTACCTTCGACCACGTGCAGTGGAGTACGTCCAGTAGGACTTATCCCTGCCCATGACCGACCACCCGCCAAATCGGTTATTCGTGGCCACATTTGCATCTGTGATTCGCTTTCCATTTCGACGATAAATCCTCTACCGACCATCATGGAAGGACAACTTGAATCTGCTTTCATCTGCGAGGAGCACACGACACCATTGACGTTGATTCCAGCGGCCATGATGTCTACTCCATCTCAAACGCGCCTGCCTATGGCCCTATGGTGTGGTGTTAGTGGCTGACGAACTGCTGCCCTCAAACGTCGACGAATGGTGCTCCTGGATATCCTTACATTGTTAACATTGAAGTGTTCTGTTTGAAGATCTGCTACGTTAAGGAATCTGTTACGTAACGCAGTGTTAATCATGTGCCTATCATCTCGGACTGTTGTGACTCTGGGGCGACCTGGTCAGCGTGCATATTCCACAGACCCATTTGCTTGAAATCTCTGCCACAGTTTACCAATAGCACTCTGACTCACATTAAAGCGGACAGCATCCTGCCGCTGAGTTTGACCAGATTCCCCAGCCTGACCCCTTTCAGAAAGAGTCAAAAACGTCTCTTTTTAAGCTGCGATTTCAAACAGGTACCTGAACAGTGAACGACTGTGAAAAAGCATCAACGCATGTGTATTGTCCTCCACTTTCCATGGACTTGTGTGTGCAAATCATTGACATTAAGTGGCAGGTGGATTTCCATATTGACAATTTGAAAAGAAAATGTGCCATTTGTAACAGAACGTATGGGACGTTAAAGAACGTAATAATGACATTTCAACGGCCTGATGTGTTTTCCATATTGTTAAGAAAGTTTGTAAAACATTCAGTTGCATATATTTCAAACAAAAACGAAGATTTTACAACTTTTAAGAAAATAGTGTTACCAATAACTCGACCCTTCATTAATGACGCCGAGTACAGTTTTTCTACACAAAATTGTTGTAATGCGTTTAATTGATAAGTATAAGGGATATTTGTCGTATGACGGGATTAACGGCACATTCCAAAGTTTATACCTCACCTGTTTTGGGCATCTTTGTCGTTGTAACACCACCTGAACAGAAAACATTTCATGTCAAGTCAGTGAGAGAGTATGTAAGTTCTCAATTTCGCTGGACCAACCCCCCTCTCTCTCCAGGTACTGACCCGAACGCCCCCTTGTGACCACTCTCTCTCTCTCTCTCTCTCTCTCTCTCTCTCTCTCTCTCTCTCTCTCTCTCTCTCTCTCTCCCTCTCTCTCTCTCTCTCTCTCTCTCCTCTCTCTCTCTCTCTCCCTCTCTCTCTCTCTCTCTCTCTCCCTCTCTCTCTCTCTCTCTCTCTCTCTCTCTCTCTCTCTCTCTCTCTCTCTCTCTCTCTCTCTCTCTCTCTCATTTGCTTCTGTTTGAGTTCACTACCTGGGCACCAGTCGCAGAACTTGAGGCAGTTGCTTCTTACGAATCCAGTATATAGTGAGTTGGTGCAGAGATCAGAGTTCATGCTGCTACAGAGAGGGTTCGTGTCGACACAATCAAACGGCGAGGTGATGGCTGATAAATATCATAAATTGAAATTCAAAACGTTACTAGCAAAAACCAAAACCAGACACATATCCCTTCAGCAAATACAACACGCAAAATGACACTTTGAATGTTCACATCCACCAATACATTCAACATTAAACATTCCAGAGCCAACTTATACAGACATGGTTTTGTATGAAAACCAGTGTTTTTAAAAAAAAAATGAGCAAATATCATCATAAAATCAATATGGATTCCAATCATTGGTCGATTTATATGAGTCAAAGGATCATACGGGTCAGAAAAACCCTATCGTTCCATCATGGTCACCACGAGAAGTTTTATGGACGTGTTGAAAACATATCATTGCAAAAATACAAGGGGTGCTTAATTAAGGTCTTTGTGTATGCTTATACGTTCAAAGAAAACGCAAAATATGATAAAAATATAAATAAATTCAAAACATAATTGACAAATAACTAAAATAATTTGTTTTGTAAATACTCTGAAGAAAAACGAGAACCTACGTATGCAGAATCCACAAGATGCAGCACAGTGGACCCTCGCCCAGTCCTCGTAGGGCCCGGTACAGGAGGCATGCTCGTAGCTGCTGCAGGTGGTCAGGTTGTCGTCCTTGCAGTCTACAGTGGGTGTGGGTGGTGGGTGTGGGTGGAGTCAGGATCGGGTGGGGTGGCGTTCGTGGGTTGGGGGTAGAAGTTTGTGGTGATTGTGGAGGCGAAGTTAAAGTTGTGGGAAATACGTTGTTATGGGTGAAGTGTTAGGAAGACAGAGAATATTCATTAATATTATCATTTGTTAATATTTTGATAGAATGTCTTTATACTTATAGGCGTGAAAGTGGAATTTATCTAACATAACGTGAAAATTTGTTTCATTTCTTTCATAAGGATGACGTGTTACACTGTACTTCAGTTTTAATTCTGGTTCTACTGACAGTTTCGCAAATACTTTAATTTTCAGAAGTATCAAATAACAGTAACATACCTCTGTTTATATGTTAACACAATCGTTGATGACGCACAACACAGACCTCTAAGACGATCAATGCACCAAACACTCAGACCATAAAGTCGCATATTTAACACTGAACACTGAGCTTTTAATACATAATACACCTGGAAAACGTAAAGGTTGAGGGGTGTTAAAGCTACCTATGGCCATACTCTAGGGCTGTCCCGACAGAGGACACCAAAAAGTGCTCCTTTAAAGGAATCGAAACCGGTCCATAGGCATTGACGTACTTACCACTAGGCTACCCTACAGCTTGCTACGTGTAAGAGACTGGTGTATACATACAGACGGACTGTTTAGACTATCATACATTACTGTAGTAAATCGCACAGCCACAAGTAAGATATTATATAAATAGTGCATGTTACTTACTAGGATCGCCGACCATTACTGACGTTGCAGGCATCGTGGGAGCTAAAACAAACGATCCAAAGTGTCAGGGTTACATGACCTCATGTGTAAATAAGTTCAAACCAGCCTGCACATAGTGTGACCTCCGAATTAATCACTCCACTCTTACCCGAAGTGTTACAAAGTGAGGATAACCCGTCTGCAAAGAGTTCGTTTGAATGGGTTTTCTTCGGACCTTTTCGGCAAAGCAAAGCAAAATCGGAAACATTTGTCCACAATGTTACTTTCGGAAACTGAACCAGAAAAACCAAGAACTTTTAATAGGTTATTGTACAAGAACAATATAGGTAAGACTGAGTGAGTTTAGTGTTAAGCTGCTTTTAGCAAAGAAACATCAACACAATCTTACCTACCAATCGTTTTATGATGTAACGCTTACTGAAAGAGCTACGAGTAACGTGATGAGAACGTGGCGAAGTTGAGCTAAATTAGCTCTATGTATAGTTAGTTATAGGGGACACTATAGTCCAAGAATCCCCGCTGGTCGAACCTCGGCTCCCCGTTGGTCTGTTTACTGTTTTAAACTTACCTGGACTCCCGGATGCGGCATCGCCTAAAAAGAAAATAGATAAGTCATTTGAGAGTAAATAAACACATTCTTATTACTCTCTGTCTCCCTATGCTTTTCGTTTCTCTTTACTGTCTTGTTTTGCTCTGTCACTAAGACTTCTTCAGTAATTGTTTTTTTCGCGTTCTTGTGTTCTTGTCTTTGTTACTTTCGATGCTTTTGTCTCCTTACTTGTCAACTCTTGTTACCCTCATCCCTTCTTACTTTCTGTCTCTCCCTACTTGTCACCTCTTGTTACCCTCATCCCTTCTTACTTTCTGTCTCTCCCTACTTGTCAACTCTTGTTACCCTCATCCCTTCTTACTTTCTGTCTCTCCCTACTACTTGTCACCTCTTGTTACCCTCATTCCCTTACTTTCTTCTCTACTTACTTGTCTCTCCCTTTTACTTTCTGTCTCTGTTTCTTACTTGTCACTCTCTTGTTCCTCCCTTTCATCCCTTCTTACTTTCTGTATCTCCTTACTTGTCACCTCTTGTTACTTTCATCCCTTCTTACTTTCTGTCTCTCCTTACTTGTCACCTCTTGTTACCTCTCATCCCTCCTTACTTCTTCCTTTCTGTCTCTTTGTCTTACTTGTCAACTCTTGTTCCCCTCCTACTTCTTCTTACTTTCTGTCTCCTCTCCTACTTGTCATCTCTTGTTACTTTCTATCTCTCTCCCTTACTTTGTCTCTCTTGTTACTGTCACCTTCTTACTTTCTTCTCGTCATTCCTCCCTCTTTCCCTTCTTACTTTCTTTACCTATCTCTCCTTACTTGTCACCTCTTGTTACTTTCATCCCTTCTTCCTTTCTGTCTCTCCTTACTTGTCACCTCTTGTTACTTTCATTCCTCCTTACTTTCTGTCTCTCCTTACTTGTCACCTCTTGTTACTTTCATTCCTCCTTACTTTCTGTCTCTCCTTACTTGTCACCTCTTGTTACTTTCATCCCTTCTTACTTTCTGTCTCTCCTTACTTGTCACCTCTTGTTACTTTCATCCCTTCTTACTTTCTGTCTCTCCTTACTTGTCACCTCTTGTTACTTTCATCCCTTCTTACTTTCTGTCTCTCCTTACTTGTCACCTCTTGTTACTTTCATCCCTTCTTACTTTCTGTCTCTCCTTACTTGTCACCTCTTGTTACTTTCATTCCTTCTTACTTTCTGTCTCTCCTTACTTGTCACCTCTTGTTACTTTCATCCCTTCTTACTTTCTGTCTCTCCTTACTTGTCACCTCTTGTTACTTTCATCCCTTCTTACTTTCTGTCTCTCCTTACTTGTCACCTCTTGTTACTTTCATTCCTTCTTACTTTCTGTCTCTCCTTACTTGTCACCTCTTGTTACTTTCATCCCTTCTTACTTTCTGTCTCTCCTTACTTGTCACCTCTTGTTACTTTCATCCCTTCTTACTTTCTGTCTCTCCTTACTTGTCACCTCTTGTTACTTTCATCCCTTCTTACTTTCTATGTCTCTCCTTACTTGTCACCTCTTGTTACTTTCATCCCTTCTTACTTTCTGTCTCTCCTTACTTGTCACCTCTTGTTACTTTCATTCCCTTCTTCTCTTTCTTTCTCTCCTTACTTTTGTCACCTCTCATTACTTTCATCCCTTCTCACTTTCTGTCCCTCCTTACTTGTCAACTCTTATTTCTTTCTGTCTCTCCTTACTTGTCACCTCTTATTACTTTCATCCCTTCTTACTTTCTGTCTCTCCTTACTTGTCACCTCTTGTTACTTTCATCCCTTCTCACTTTCTGTCCCTCCTTACTTGTCACCTCTTGTTTCTTTCTGTCCCTCCTTACTTTCTGTCTCTTGTTACTTGTCACCTCCTTGTTACTTTCCTCCTTGCTTGTCCCTCCTTACTTTCTGTCTCTCCTTACTTGTCACCTCTTGTTACTTTCATCCCTTCTTACTTTCTGTCTCTCCTTACTTGTCACCTCTTGTTACTTACATCTCTTCTTACTTTCTGTCTCTCCTTACTTGTCATCTCTTGTTACTTTCATTCCTCCTTACTTTCTGTCCCTCCTTACTTGTTACTGTCTCTCCTTACTTGTCACCTCTTGTTACTTTACTTTCTGTCTCCTCCTTACTTGTCAACTCTCCTTACTTGTCACCTCTTGTTACTTTCATCCCTTCTCACTTTCTGTCCCTCCTTACTTGTCAACTCTTATTTCTTTCTGTCTCTCCTTACTTGTCACCTCGTGCTACTTTCACACAAATAATGACGCTGTTCATACGTACAACTCGATATATTTCCGATAGCACATAGGGCAGTAGGGGTAGCCTAGTGGTTAAGCGTTCGCTCGTGACGTCGAAGACCCGGTTTGGAATCCCCCAGATGGGTAAAATGCGTGAAGCCCATTTCTGGTGTCCTCCTGTCGTGATATTTCTGGAATATTGCTAAAAGCGGCGTAAAATTAAACCCACTCACTCACTCCGATAGTACAAGGACATTCTAAAGCATTTGGTACCAAACATAGACACACGGCGTTTAAAAATATACGTTCCTGGAATTTGTTGTACTTACTAGTCGTCGTTGGCGTCGTCGTTGAACCAGCCACTCCTGAAGAGAAGGAACCAGAAATACACATAAGGAACAAATCGGTTGGTCGGGCTCGAGGCCTTCATCTTAGCTGTTGACGTGAGATGTTCGCCATGATGTCGATTTCAATGGATTAAAATCGCGTAATCATGATAGAAAATTAATGTGAAGTGTGAGACATCAACGATGAACTATAAAAAGTTAAGAGGCTAAGGATATCTTCTCTCTAAGGATCTCGATTCTTTCATAATACTATAATATAGTTAATCTTACATTGCATGACAGATCAACTGTAGTGATATCATGGCATGACAGATCAACTGTAGTGATATCATGGCATGACAGATCAACTGTAGTGATATCATGGCATGACAGATCAACTGTAGTGATATCATGGCATGACAGATCAACTGTAGTGATATCATGGCATGACAGATCAACTGTAGTGATATCATGGCATGACAGATCAACTGTAGTGATATAGTGATATCATCACGCATGACAGATCAACTGTAGTGATATCATGGCATGACAGATCAACTGTAGTGATATCATGGCATGACAGATCAACTGTAGTGATATCATGGCATGACAGATCAACTGTAGTGATATCATGGCATGACAGATCAACTGTAGTGATATCATGGCATGACAGATCAACTGTAGTGATATCATGGCATGACAGATCAACTGTAGTGATATCATGCCATAACAGTAGTGATATCATGCATGACAGATCAACTGTAGTGATATCATGGCATGACAGATCAACTGTAGTGATATCATGGCATGACAGATCAACTGTAGTGATATCATGGCATGACAGATCAACTGTAGTGATATCATGGCATGACAGATCAACTGTAGTATGACAGATATTGTAGTGATAGCATGACAGATCAAAGTGATATCAACTGTAGTGATATCATGACAGATCAACTGTAGTGATATCATGGCATGACAGATCAACTGTAAAACTGAGGGAATAGTGCATTCCATAACTTCTTTTGAGAACTACACTAAGAATGTATTATTGTGTAGCCTAAGAGATGTCATAATGCAATCTAAACAAAATAACAGGAGTCAGTCATAAGTCCTGATTAGAACAACCAACCAAACATACAATATCATTGAACCTCACCTTCACCCCATTTTACCTCACCTCAGCTGACGTTTTGAGACATGGAATTTGGATTTGTGCATAACTGGCCGAAAACAAACTCATTTCAAAACATGACACTGCTGGGCAAAAGAAAGTCTACTCGCAAAATGTGGATTTGAACAAAATAAAAGTGTTACCAGGATGAACCCCACCCCATCACTCCTCGAAACGCTGTAAACGTAAGGTCCGAAACACAACAATTAAGGGCCTTCCAAATGCATTACCATCAAATAATGATTTCTTGTTTGCCTCATTTTCACCTAAAATCCAAACTGGCTTTATGTTATCTTTTGCCCTGCTGTTTATTCACGACAGCGTTTTAATTTGTGATAAAGTTATTTCAAATATACTAGGGGCGGTGGGGTAGCCTAATGGTTAAAGCGTTGGCTCGTCACGCCGAAGACCCGGGTTCGAATCCCCCACATGGGCACAATGTGTGAAGCCCATTTCTGGTGTCCCCCGCCGTGATGTTGCTGGAATATTGCTAAAAGCGGCGTAAAACCAAACTCAGTCAGTCAGTCAGTCAAATATACTATACCGTATGCCCTCGATAAAAGGTCGGAGACCCATTTTGATCCGCTGTTACAAGCAAGGAGTAGCGGGTACCTATGTCGTACTGGTACTCACACGGAGGCATTGTACCCAACAACAACAACAACAACAGTAATAGCAGTAGCAACAACAACTATTCATTGATTGTATATGTTTTCACTCCAGTTTAATACCTTACTTCTGTTGGGGGATTTACGGTTTATAATACCAATGCACCGTCTGACGACGAAGCCACACGTACATGCAGACTCTCACATATTGTGCAGCCTCTACTGGCAAGACCCACGGTAGGGATATAAGTCTACCTACCCACAATCCCAACCAGCAGCAGTGTAGCGGGAAACATTGTTCCTGATGACAGAGGATTACACAGCTTGTTGTCAGTACTGCAGGAGACAGACGGAGCCTCTAGGTTCAAAATATATATAGTAACGAGGAACAAAGGTTATCTGTCCGTTGTGATAGAGACTTTTAAGATTTAAATAATTCCCCGAGGTAAATCAGTAAGTATGGTGCAGCAGCGATATTAGCAGTATTACTGTGATCTCCTTCGGGAAATGGGGTGTGTTGTCGGGAGGATTGGGGGATAGGAGCACCCAGAGGGGATACAAGAATCTGGGTTATGCATTGTGCCAATGTGAAGAATCGAAACGGGTCATCCGTTGGGGCATGTAAGCGAAAACATACACAACAATACGCTACCTCGCACCAGAATAGAATTGTGTCCCTTAGCTGTAACAGGATCTGTGATTTCATGTTTGCATCCCACGTATCCTCGCCTTACACTGTCACACCCGTTGTCAGTGCTTTTTAGTAACAGATTCATTGGGCGTAAGATGATAATATGTAATATGAACGTATCCTGAAATTCAACGATAATACCCTGTATTCGAGAAAAGAGAACGCGTATCCTGCCATGAGCCATAGTCGCTTTGTAGCCGAGTGGTTAAAGTGTTTGTTCTTCACGTAAAGGGGCCGAGTTCGATTTCCCACATGGGTACAATGTGTCAAACCTATTTCTGGCGTCCCCCGCTGTGATATTTCTGGAATATTCCTGAAATCGGCGTAAGACCCAACTCACTCACTCACGTATTGAATGTCCCGTTGTGATTTGTCTTTTCAGCTCAGTAATGGAGTAGGAAATGAAATTACAAGAACTGTTTTGATAGTGATTAAACAACATCTGTGTTTATCCCAAACTGTGTATAACTACCCAATGATTGAGTTCCATGGCAATCCATACGAAAAGGGAGATGTTTCAGCAAATGTATCGTGTTCAAAATCATATCCAACAGATTCACCACAAGATTCATTACTAAAGTCAAAGTAGGACTCATATCGGTTTTTGAGAAAAGTTGGTTGGTTAGATACCTGGCTGGTTGGCTGTTCGGCTGGTTGGTTTATAACGCCGCCGTTGGTTGTTGTGACGGCAGAGAACGTTCACCTCCGCGAACACCTTGTATCATGACGGTTTCATTGTGATTCATACAAGCAGACTTACTATTTTGCCAGAATCGTACAGTACCCTCCTGATTGCACATGTCATCTGTAGTTGTATGTTATACATCCAACATGGGAAGGCCTGTAACCAGTGTTGTAATTATGGGCCTATGGCAGACATTACAGTACAGTACCCTCCTGATTGCACATGTCATCTGTAGTTATATGTTATACATCCAACATGGGAAGCCTGTAACCAGTGTTGTAATTATGGGCCTTTTTGCCAACATTACAGTACAGTACCCTCCTGATTGCACATGTCATCTGTAGTTATATGTTATACATTTGGCAGACAACAGTAAGTACCCTCCTGGAAGTTATATGTTATACTGTAACCAGTGTTTTAATTATGGGCCTATGGCAGACATTACAGTACAGTACCCTCCTGATTGCACATGTCATCTGTAGTTATATGTTATACATCCAACAAGGGAAGGCCTGTAACCAGTGTTTTAATTATGGGCCTATGGCCAACATTACAGTACAGTACCCTCCTGATTGCACATGTCATCTGTAATTATATGTTATACATTCAACAAGGGAAGGCCTGTAACCAGTGTTTTAATTATGGGCCTATGGCCAACATTACAGTACAGTAAGAAATAAAAGTTGAAAAACAGTTGAGTGATTCATAGATAAATGCATCTGATATCGTCAGAATCAAACAATGAATCAGTGATCATACCTCTCTCTCTCCCACCCACCATCCACTATCCTCTATCTCTTGCTTCTCTGTCTGTCTCTTGCTTATCTGTCTGTCTGTCTCTTGTTTCTCTGTCTGTCTGTCTCTTGCTTCTCTGTCTGTCTGTCTCTTGCTTCTCTGTCTGTCTGTCTCTTGCTTCTCTGTCTGTCTGTCTCTTGCTTCTCTGTCTGTCTGTCTCTTGCTTCTCTGTCTGTCTGTCTCTTGCTTCTCTGTCTGTCTGTCTGTCTCTTGCTTCTCTGTCTGTCTGTCTGTCTCTTGCTTCTCTGTCTGTCTGCCTGTCTCTCTTCTGTCTGTCTCTTGCTTCTCTGTCTGTCTGTCTGTCTCTTGCTTCTCTGTCTGTCTGTCTGTCTCTTGCTTCTCTGTCTGTCTGTCTGTCTCTTGCTTCTGTGTCTGTCTGTCTGTCTCTTGCTTCTCTGTCTGTCTCTTACTTTCTGTCTGTCTCTGTCTACAGCTTCTCTGTCTGTCTCCCTCTTGCTTCTCTGTCTGTCTCTCTCTTGCTTCTCTGTCTGTCTCTGTCTCTTGCTTCTGTGTCTGTCTGTCTGTCTCTAGCTTCTCTGTCTGTCTGTCTGTCTCTTGCTTCTCTGTCTGTCTGTCTCTTTCTCTTTCTTTTCTGTCTGTCTGTCTCTGCCTCTTGCTTCTCTGTCTGTCTGTCTGTCTCTAGCTTCTCTGTCTGTCTGTCTGTCTCTTGCTTCTGTGTCTGTCTGTCTCTTGCTTCTCTGTCTGTCTCTGTCTCTAGCTTCTCTGTCTGTCTCCCTCTTGTTTCTCTGTCTGTCTCTGCCTCTTGCTTCTGTGTCTGTCTCTAGCTTCTCTGTCTGTCTGTTTGTCTCTTGCATCTGTCTGTCTCTGTCTCTTTCTTTTCTGTCTGTCTGTCTCTGTCTCTTGCTTCTCTGTCTGTCTGTCTGTCTCTTGCTTCTCTGTCTGTCTGTCTCTTGCTTCTCTGTCTGTCTGTCTCTTGCTTCTCTGTCTGTCTCTCTTCTTCTCTGTCTGTCTGTCTGTCTCTTGCTTCTCTGTCTGTCTGTCTCTTGCTTCTCTGTCTGTCTGTCTTGCTTCTCTGTCTGTCTGTCTCTTGCTTCTGTCTGTCTGTCTCTTGCTTCTCTGTCTGTCTGTCTCTTGCTTCTCTGTCTGTCTGTCTCTTGCTTCTCTGTCTGTCTCTAGCTTCTCTGTCTGTCTCTCTCTTGCTTCTCTGTCTGTCTGTCTGTCTGTCTCTCTCTCTTGTCTGTCTGTCTGTCTGTCTCTTGCTTCTCTGTCTGTCTGTCTCTTGCTTCTCTGTCTGTCTCTCTGTCTCTTGCTTCTCTGTCTGTCTCTTGCTTTCTGTCTGTCTCTGTCTCTAGCTTCTCTGTCTGTCTGTCTCTTGCTTCTCTGTCTGTCTCTCTCTCTTGCTTCTCTGTCTGTCTGTCTCTCTCTCTCTTCTCTTCTCTGTCTGTCTGTCTGTCTCTAGCTTCTCTGTCTGTCTGTCTGTCTCTTGCTTCTCTGTCTGTCTGTCTCTCTCTCTTCTCTGTCTGTCTGTCTGTCTCTAGCTTCTGTCTGTCTCTCTTGCTTCTCTGTCTGTCTGTCTGTCTCTTGCTTCTCTGTCTGTCTGTCTGTCTCTTGCTTCTCTGTCTGTCTGTCTCTTGCTTCTCTGTCTGTCTGTCTCTCTCTTCTCTTCTCTGTCTGTCTCTTGCTTGTTTGTCTGTCTGTCTCTGTCTCTGCTTCTCTGTCTGTCTGTCTCTTGCTTCTCTGTCTGTCTCTGTCTCTGCTTCTCTGTCTGTCTGTCTCTCTCTTTCTCTGTCTGTCTGTCTCTGTCTCTTGCTTCTCTGTCTGTCTGTCTGTCTCTCTTGCTTCTCTGTCTGTCTGTCTCTTGCTTCTCTGTCTGTCTGTCTCTTGCTTCTCTGTCTGTCTGTCTCTTGCTTCTCTGTCTGTCTCTGTCTCTCTGTCTTCTCTGTCTGTCTGTCTGTCTCTTCTCTTCTCTGTCTGTCTGTCTCTTCTCTGTCTGTCTGTCTGTCTCTGTCTCTTGCTTCTCTGTCTGTCTGTCTGTCTCTTGCTTCTCTGTCTGTCTGTCTGTCTCTTGCTTTCTGTCTGTCTGTCTCTAGCTTCTCTGTCTGTCTGTCTCTTGCTTCTCTGTCTGTCTGTCTGTCTCTTGCTTCTCTGTCTGTCTGTCTGTCTCTTGCTTCTCTGTCTGTCTGTCTCTAGCTTCTCTGTCTGTCTGTCTGTCTCTTGCTTCTCTGTCTGTCTGTCTCTTGCTTCTCTGTCTGTCTGTCTGTCTCTTGCTTCTCTGTCTGTCTGTCTCAGTCTCTTGCTTCTCTGTCTGTCTGTCTCTTGCTTCTCTGTCTGTCTGTCTCTTGCTTCTCTGTCTGTCTCTGTCTCTTGCTTCTCTGTCTGTCTGTCTCTTGCTTCTCTGTCTGTCTGTTTGTCTCTTGCTTCTCTGTCTGTCTGTCTCTGTCTCTTGCTTCTCTGTCTGTCTGTCTGTCTCTTGCTTCTCTGTCTGTCTGTCTCTAGCTTCTCTGTCTGTCTCTGTCTCTTGCTTCTCTGTCTGTCTGTCTCTAGCTTCTCTGTCTGTCTGTCTCTTGCTTCTCTATCTGTCTGTCTCTTGCATCTCTGTCTGCCTTTCTCTTGCTTCTCTGTCTGTCTCTATCTCTTGCTTCTCTGTCTGTCTGTCTCTAGCTTCTCTGTCTGTCTGTCTCTTGCTTCTCTATCTGTCTGTCTCTTGCTTCTCTGTCTGTCTCTCTCTTGCTTCTCGCTCTCTCTCTCTGTCTCTCTCTCATCCAAACCTCAGACCAAGTACAAGGCAGGATATAAAGGCAACGGCTTTCATGAGAACTGTTTATTCAGAACCAGGTGAGTCAACTATTTCCCGCCGAGGAGAGACCCGGGGCCGTGTATAGTCTGGAAGTAGTTGCACTTGAGGATAGGACAACATGCTCCTTCCGGTAGGATCAGGTCGCAGTTGTGGATCCACTTGGGGCAACTGGAGGCAGAGGTTATCGTAGGATCAATGTGGGATACAATACATAATTCCTGAAGAGTTAGGATATACATCCTTTCGTTAAACGAACCCCTACTTGGTAATGATCAGTTAAGCTGGTGGAGCAAAGTTTCGAAAATGGCAAGTTGACTGAACTTTCACTCGTTCATTCTCAGAGTAAAATATACCGCTATATCTTGACATCAATTCTACATATCAATACGATACCTGCAAATGGATCTTAAACAAGTTGCTATTATTACATATCTTAGCAATTGGAGGTGGAATAGTTAAAGTTAAAGCATC